TTTCGGCATTTCACGAGCGTCCATTCACAGGATGCTAAGAACTAATATGCATCCATCCAAATTTAAGCTACTTTCTGCTCTTCATCCGAGTGACGCCGTGCAACGTGTGCAAGTTTGTAAAACGATGTTAGTGCGATACCAAGAGGATCCACAATTTTTGCAACATATGTATTATATGGACAGACGAGTAAAAATTTACGAGAGAAGGTATCTTTAATATACATAATAAGAAGTGGATCTTATTTGTGGAAGAGCGAAATGGGCGGTGACTATTAGACGCCTTCATTATAGCCATCTTTCTCTATCGCACGGATTTCTATGACATTCTTTATCTCTCTCACGTAACGGCCAATGAACCATGGGGACTTTCCGACCCTGTATATCTATATGTATTTTGACGTGTTGAAGCCGAATCCGAAGTCAGAATCACTCTGTCATCCTCCAGTATTTTTATAACCTGCAAAATAACTCTAAAATCTGGCCTTCCGTTTATAGTGCGAATCTGTTATAGTCTTTCCGATATCAATTGAAAAACCAAGAGGTTGACAGTATGGACCAGGTTCGGTCGCTGACGCAGCAACTCGGCATTGAAATATTTGAAAAACTTGTTGCCATATTTATTTAGCCATATCCATATACAGGTCATAAACACAGCTGCATTGGGCCACTGGGCAATAAATCACAGCTGTTGACAAGTGGTTGACAAATTGCCCAGCAGTGCAATACAATGCGGAATTTGGTGTGATTCAGGCAATTTTAATTTATTATAGGCACCTTCTATTAATCATTAATATTACAATTCCGAAAGGGAGAAATAATATTATTACAAAATGGCATTCTGGAAACCTTTTGAAACGGAACAAAACGAAATTTACCGTCAATATAATAAAATTGTTTGAGGGTATAAATAATTAAAATATGTTTTGGCCAAATGAACATATAATAGAAATTTTCTACACATTATATACAAATTATTATAATTTTTTACCTTTAGCAGAAAACTTTTTTAGGGACGCCTACGAGTCATTAAATTTTATTGCCAGGCGTTTTTTTACGTGTTCAACTGACATCGGAAAGACTATACCCATCGTCACCACATGGAGGTTACAGGCATAGACAATAAAATAGGCTTCAAAAAGGAAACAGCAGGAAACGAAATAATTTCTTTCGAAGATTCGAAGTTTTATTGCCTAGGATTCTCAACTAAATTTCATAAATAGAAATTTAAAAAGAAGTAAAAGAAAAAAGGAATTACTTTGTGTACTTTGTTTCTCACATAAAGATGGTATTGAAACTAAAAAACCAACAGAAAATTAATGAAACTTTAAGATATTACTGTTTAAAAAAACTAATCTACTTGAGGAAATAAATGATGAAGTTGTAGTAAGTTAAAAATAGAATTCTCCATATTTTTTGTATTTAAGGGCGGTTTTCGCGATAAGAAAAATGGGGTAATAGATGGCCTGTACAATGAAAATGGTATGTAGACTAACTTTTAGTATTAAAATTACGTCTATATTTAAATTTTAAGTATTTCAATAGCGTATATATGCAGTATAACAGTCAATTAGTCCATTATGCACATTCGACGTTACATGTAGATTCGCTCCACCAAATGACAGCTCTTGACAAGTTTAACTGTTCCATTCATGAATAATAAAACTACGGAAAAGCTATATCGAGTCACTGTCGTATCTATGAATTAATAACAATTTAAATGGACCCGCAAATTTGTCTCTGTTCTGAATTAATGCAGAGCAGTCATGGAGGCATTTGATTTTTTTTTAAATTAAGGCATCATTTTGTTTTGCACGGCGTTACCTTATTTTGTCCAATTGGGATATTAATGTATCTATACAGTAAAGATATTTTTATACAAGGTGTATTTTAAGTCAATGTACACGTAGATTATTTTAGTTCAAAAAATCTTAAAGAATCAGGGAACTAAAGCCACTGGTTTCTGAGATACAGGGTGTTGAATTAAAAAAAAACCTCACTTTTTTCAAATACCTCTAGAGATATTTTACGTAGATTTTGTCGAAGCTTCTAAAATGTTTGAGTTACTTTTTTTAAATTATGATAAGCTTACATATTTGAATAATTTTAAAATCTGCTAAAACTATTCAATTCGAAAAAATAAATATATAGACATTTTTGTTCAAAAATTAATTTTAAAGAGGTATAGGTAACTATTAAAAGTCCAAAAAAAAAACATTGGCGTAAATATGTAGAACCAGTGTTAGAAAGACTTTTATAGGTAATGTCCAAAGAAGGTTTAAATAACAGAAACACCTTTTTTTAGACGTAATGATGTAAACTACTACTCCACCTATGTAAAAAAGCCAAGGGGTTTCACCTATTCACAATGTCACGAGCCGCCAATGAAATAACGTGTTTTTCCAATCTTTTTGTTAAAACCCTTGTCATTGCAAATTGCTGATAAGTAGTTGGTTTAAAAAACATTGTTGTAATAAATTTCAGTAGCTGTTTAGTGTTTATTAAAAATATAAAAGAAGAAGAAGATACATAGGTAATTAAGATTACTAAAATTAAATTTAAAATATCAGTCCTTTTTGTAAGATGTGAGGTTCAAGTGAAGCCTGAAAACAAAATTAAATATTAGTATAAATATCCCAAACAAAGAGAGATAATAAATATTTATTTGAAATTAAACATGGAAAATATTAGATCCAAAATAAAATCAGTGTCTTTCATAATTCTTATATCGTTCTCTTCGGTTATCGGAAAGTTGAGTTGACGGCTTCCGAAAAAATAGAATTTAAAATTTTGTATCAACATTGTCCTGAAAACGGATTTGGATAAACGATTAAAAAATTAGTGACGTGTATACAATGTGTTGCTATAAGTATGGGCACATATCGGGTTCCCATTTTTCGAGCCAAGCCATAGGGATCACATTCTCATGAGAAATACAAGTTCGGTCAAAATAGGGCAAAGTTGTGAAGATAAATTTGACCTATCTTTCGTCGTTTAGAAATTTTCGACCAAAAAAATGACTAAAAAATATTTTTTCCATTAGCATGGCGTAATTTCGAGAAAAATTATATAACCAGAATACCTCATATCTACGCTACCGGTATGACTGATTTGAGTTGAAATGTACCTAATTGTCGAGTTCCATTTTATTCATGTATTCGAAACGTTTCTATATCTTCATTTGTTTAGAATTATGTTGGAAATTTCATCAGATGTGTTTTTAGGGCTAAAAAATAGTATTCATGTCGTCTCAATGATAAAGGATGCTAGTTACACCTTACCTTACTGGTGGATTTTAATTTATTTGTCCTTTACATATGAAAACCTGGACTAAGAGATAAAAATTTGGATAATTTTGAGCAAAATTAATATATTATTTAAAAATAAAACCATGTAACAGTTTTCGAGATATTTTTAGTAGTTCGGATAAATTTTTCCCTTTGGTGCCGTATTTTAAATTATTTTGGTTATCCAGAGCATACTTAGGACGAAATAGATTTATTACACTGAATCTGCAGTATTGGTAGTGCACTTTAGGAGTAGTGTGTTCGTATTATGCACTATTTATAGAATTAATTGCTGAGGACGCCTGACCGCGACCACAAATTTTTTTTTCTGGCATGTTAGTATACGTACAAACCAATATTAGTTGATTTTATTGAAAATTTATTGTGAGGAGGTATATCAATTAAGGAAAGATGTAAGTAAATATATTTTAAGATTAAGATACATCAAAAACTAAATCAATTTGCTTCTATCAAATGATCGATATTTTTGATTTTTAATTAGTTTGCCAAGTTGTAAATATATCTTCTGAAAATATTATATTTAAATAAGGTTTCCAGTTCAAATTTTTTTTTCTCATAAAAAGGTTAATTTAATAAAAAGCTCTGTATATAGGGTGTCCCAATATCCTGTGTACGGGGAACTACCATAGATTTTTGGCGTCAGAACAAAACGATGTTGTTAAATTGCATCATGTGCACGTGTTTAAAATCATATATATCAACACATTACAAATATTATTGTTATTTCCTCAAGTACCAATGTTCTACTGTTTTCCAATAATATATTTTCCAGGGACGCATGATTCCGGAATTTGAAACAAATAATACGTCACATATTGCAACACACATATTTTACGGGTTCCATATTTTGAACAATTTATATGCTATTTAAATTTATTTTAAAATAAAATATAAAATCAACCGGTTTATAATAATTGATGTTAATTTTGATTTAATCAAATATTTTATTATCACTTATTTTTTAATAATTTATTTCGTGTATCATAGCTATATTATAAATTTTAAAGTATCATGTTAGTTACAGTAACTTTACATTTCTATTGTATACATGAAGCCCACAACGTTCTGTAGTGAAAAGTGATTATTGCTTATTTATTCGACACTGAAAATATTTTTTAGGTATACCCACTTGCTTTTATGTAAGTATCTACCATTAAAAAAAATAAGATATATTTTCCATATAATTATGCACGTTAATTTATGTCTGTTAAATTCGACGGTTAAAAAACATAACCTAAAGTAATTTAATACCTAACAAATTTATACAATTTTATTCAGATATTGAACCTTAAAAATTTCTATATGTAAACAATAACGACAATATAAATAAATTATTAATACAGAATTACAATAGGAGTTAGCCCGGGGTCAGGTTTGGGTATTTCACCTTACCTTACGATGTTTAGAGAATTTTAAATACCCACGTGCCATTTACATACCTTACTCTACCTACACCATATGTTAGTAAGCAATTAAGATAAGGTAACTTCGCATTGAAACTGTTCCAAACAGTGGTTATTTTCTTTCTAACAACAAACGTATTGTCTTTTTCTTGCTTAAGCATAACGTTGCTGTATTGATACCAGCTACATACCAATATAAATCGGTAATTAAAATTTTATCGCGTAAAAACTATTTTCTATTTCAATTATATTTATTGAGTAAGTAATAAACTTATCAGTTGTACACTTTGAATTGGTATTTGTGGGATATTATTTATTGGTTCACTGAGATTTTATTTACCTAGATTTATAATGAAATATTTAGATTACATTTAAAATAAGATTAACTGATTTACAATCGAGCGGTTAAAGATAATAATAATCCTGTTAAGGCTGCAATATTCAACCATATAATTTAATTACATCTGTTATATTCAGTGTCGATTGGATAATAAATAGAATTTTGCAATCCAACTATGTACCTACATTCCTTCATAAAAAAAACGTGTTGGATTGGAACCTAATTAGACGAGATCAGAACAATTCCGATAAAAACTTCATTAATTTTGGTCATGGACACCCTGAAGTAAAGTGTATATTGTTTCTAACAGTGAGTACTATTATTTTACAATATTAATTATATGTTATTGTTTTAAAAGTATATACCTAATTATCGGCGCACTTTAAAAAGTTGTAAAACTTGTGTACATACTTAAAAACTCAAATACCTTCTGTAGATAATATACAATCACTGCAGATCTACATCTAACATTTTTTCATACTTTATTTCACTTTTTTATACGGCAAATGTATTTACATCTTCTTGGAACAATTTAGTGACAAGTCTGATACCAAAGCAAAAGTCGAAAAATTCAGATTTATACAACTGCAATATTTTTAATAATAGCAGTAGGACAGAGATCTGGGGTAAATGTAAATTAGAGGGTGATGGCTAGCGAAAAAAATTGTACATCCAAATGACGACTGTGACGCACAATTGAGATTATGTTTAACCAAATCATTAAACTGAGGGAAATAGACCAATAAGGAAGTTTTGCAAAGATAATCTGTATTATAATAGCAATTTTTCTCAGTGGTGTTAATAAAAATTATTTTGTTAACTTTTTAAATATGAGGGGAAGTTTAAGGACAAAGTTAATAATTGAATCTAGCTAAGTGTACATAGTTATGTTATGGCAAAACATCACTTATTAGAAGTCACTTATTTGAAGTAAAAAAAAAGTATTTGCTGGCATTGTCATAAAACTCGTGATCCTAAGATAACAACCTAACAACCGCGTAGAAATTGTATTGTAGCGATCGCAATCAGAAATTCGAATTACAACAATAAATAAATGAGTTTTTAACCATTAGTAGGATCCTTTAGCAAAATATTTTTTATTATAATAGTAGCATAACCCTTCTGGGGTCTATTTAAAGCAGATATTTTGTTAGCGTTAATCAATTTCTATTTTCGGCTATGATATTTCTCTCAGTGTAGGAAAATTAGAAGTTACGTCATTCAGATGATTTTATTTTAGAAGTACAAAACTATATATTTAAGTTACATAAATCTTCTTACAATCTTTACTACATTTTGTTAAGGTTTTGTGTTATCATAGTGCTTATCAGAGCTTATCCAAACTCAAAATTTATTAACCTTCAAGTCTATTTAAAATTTATTTCTAATATGGCCATCATATTTATAAAACGAAACTCTCGTAGTGCGAGTTTCAGCCCAAAAACGGATACAAGAAAATTTCATCACTTGCTAGACTTGCCAAGGCTGACTTTAAAACTAACACTACCAAATAAAAACTTCAAATGAAGAATTCATCAAAACATATAACATGCACTGTGATTATAAAAAAAGAAGAAAAGTGGGCTGCATCATCATAAACATAAAGCTGACAGAATCTTAATAAAAGTGAGGTATTTATGAATCCGATCTCCGAAGAAATCAGTAGAAAAGTGTCAGTTGTAGTAAAATTTTGCATTTATGTACAGAAAGTTTAATGGAACTGATATTATTCCTAGAGAATTAAGAAGTATCTAATTTAAATGTTTAAAAAGCTACAGGAAAATTTTGGTAAAAATAATTCATGGACTGTTGAAAGAATAGTTTATTAATATAGACGAAAACCAAACCACTCATTAACGTGTGTCAACAATTTTGCCATAATGTATGCTGAAGTTGTACATATAAACACAACTTATACTGTCTAAAAAATATAACCAACCTCTCCAAGGCACCATGGTCTCGTCGATGATAAATTTTTTGCAGGGTTTTAAAGTGCTCTGATGGAACTACAAGGAGACCGTAGCGGACATGCTGGATGTGCTCGAATAATTCCGATGTTACAAAACGAGGAAGAATTTTCAATATTGTAGACAAGAACCACTAGCTTTAGACAATCCACAATACAGTTTGAAAAACTATACTATACAGGGTGATTCACAACTTATCCAAACAAATTTTGGAATAGATGCGGCATGAGAAATGGAGTCAATATCTTAAAAAATTTTTTGTAAAATCCTTAGTTTCCGAGAAAAAAAATATTGAAGTTGTAGTACATTCAACCATTACATAGGACAACTGTAGTCTCTAGCGTCATTCGCAATCGTAATACGCGTGGAGAGCCACGTGGCCTCAGCGACTCCGAATACGATTTTACAATCGTGGTGTTTACAAGTTTTTTAGTAGTTAGTGTCAAAAATGGCTTGCTTGTATAGCAACTCGGAGTTGATGGATATCGTTTTAATTTATGGTGAAGCAAGACAACATTTTGTATTTTAGTGACGCATTTGTGCTATGGCGAAGCAAAACAACATTTGTGTTAGTTCGTAGAAACTGAGTAAGATGGACCCAAATGTGTTTACACGTTGGTGGACAAAATTTTGAATAGATGTTGTAACATCAGGTATGTCAAATTATTTTATTATTTAAAACCACAAATTAATTTTATTAATTAATAATAAAAATTTTATTTATTTCTTTCCTTGCGAAGTTTTTGTCCGTTTTTATCACACTGCCACCATGTCGGTCGCATTGTGCGCGGTCAGGTTTTACAGTGGACCAGTTTTCAGTGCCGTGCAGAAGTGTATTTTTAAATTATTGTCGAACTGTCCTTTTTGATTTTTTTTTACAATATTGTATTTGTAAGTCTCCAAAAAATTTTTTTGGATAAGTTCTGAATCACCCTGTATATGAGAAACTATACGAAAACGAACTGTATCCGTATCGCATTCGTCGTATACAAGCATTGCAACCAGAAGAGTTAAAAAATTCACTATATATAGTGTTGGTAATCGAAACGTCGAACGATTCTGTGCAATAATTTATTAATTATTATATTAACATTCTTTTTAAATATTAACAGTCTGTATTTCAAAAACGAAGTGTTCGAAGGGCAAATGTTTATACAAGAAAATGTTCTTAATTTTGGACGACAAATATGCTTCTTCATTTTTGATACACCATTATGTTATACCTTTTATTTTATATTTTATGCTCGTGATAAGAATAATGTATTTATTTAAGTTGTCCTAAATGATTTGTGGCAGGAAAACCGTATTTTAGAAGTAGGTATACAAGGCTGGCCACTGGCCAGTCTGAAATTACAATGCATGGAGAATTATATATGGCGTGAACTGTAGACAAGTTCAGTTGTTTATACTATACCTACTTAGTTTTAAGTACCAGTTCTACTGGTAGGTAAGTTTTTGTATTAATTATATTAATTATAAATCACTTCGTTAAATTTAAATATGTATAAGGTACTTTCATATATAATATGAAAAAATTTATCTCTTAACGCCGCCACTGAACAATTTAACATTAAAGATTAACTTGAAAAATAATTGGCGAAGAAGCCATACAAATTTTTATGAAAATAGTTCAAAATATCTTATTTGACGTATCATCTGAAGAAACTATTATTTATTTAACTTTTTTCTTTCTATTTCCTGTATTAAGTTGGTGTTGAAGAGGTCTGTGCAACACTGCCAACACAGTTGGCTTAGAATAAACAATTTGTTGTTAGGTACGTGTAAATAGCATAGTGAAGTCAGCGGTTCTCAACAAGTTTTATATTAAAAGATCATGCATATTTATTTTCAATTTAACATTTTTTATTCCTAATTTTTCTGCAAACAAACTGTTAATTATATATTCTACACAGTAAACTGTATCGATGTTTAAGATATATTTACATATTTAAGATTCATCTAGTATTGTATTTTCTAGTGTATGAGGTCAATAAATTTCTTTCTAGGAAAAAATCCATTTTAATTGCCATAAAATCCTTGAATCTAAATATTCAAATAGTCTTGTAAATATTGACTTAACGTAATCACGAATTTGAACACATTCTTATATTTATATAAATCTAAAAGCAACAGAGATACAAATAAAAGTAAAAGCCTTAGAATACTATTTATTATAAATGCATTTGAAATAGAAAAGTTAAAAAACTGATAACATTATTGAAGCGTAAGCAGAGGCGAATCCACGGGGGCACGGGGGGGCTATGGGGCTGCAGCCCCCCCCCAGTTTTTTTTTGGAGTATCACTTCCTTTACCTGTTTGGTATCTAGCTCAAGAAACAAATGAATTTGATCTATTGGTCAAATTTTATGAGAATGACCTACTTGAAAACGGTGCTCTTATCAGTACTGAACATGAAGGTGCTGAATTTCCGAACATACACGAGCTTTTTAGAATAGTTGCAATAATACCAGTGACAACAGCAACTGCGGAAAGGAGCTACAGTAGCTTAAGAAGATTAAAGACGTACTTGAGAAATACGACAGGGGAAAATTGACTCACCTCTTTGGCCCTTATGAACTTACATACTAGGTACAGAAATTAAGGGATATTAAAAAAATCCCAAAAGAGTTGTAACTTGGAGGGAAATGGTCGTAGAGAGAATAAAAAAAAGGAAATCGAAGCTTCAATTGTCTAGTTTTTGGAGCTGGAGTTTAAAATTTTTTAGAGTTCCTATGGAGTTCAAAAATAAAGCTCTTTTAAATAATTTAATTCTCTTCAATTTGAGCGGTTCCGGAGCCTTGTACGATTATTTGTCGCTGAGTTATCGTCGATCAAAGCAAAAAATCACTTTTGACTTGGGCAATCAGTTACTCGGAAAATAATGGTCGTACAGAAAATCCAAGCATGGTTTTGAAAACTGCAAAGTATTCTCTACAAGTCGTAATTATTGGTTTTTGATAAAAACAATTTTATATTTTAATATCGACATAAATGTTGATGAGGTGCTCAATAAATTAGGTTAAAAAAGCCGTCAGCGTCGAATAAATATTTTGCGATTTGTTATAATATTATGTTATTTGATAAAATAGTAATAATAAACAAATTGATACTATTTTATATTTCATCTTCACGTTTCTAAAATCTCAATTCAGGTACCTAACATATAAATAAAAGATTAAGAAACTACCTTATTTCAATCTAATAGAATTTAAAGACGTCACGACAATATAATTTTTTATGACCTGAGCCCCGCCCAGAGCTAAATCCTGGATTCGCCACTGAGCGTAAGTAATATACATAGACAGAAAATTAAGTATGAAGTTATTAATTTAGTTAGTTTATTCAGTAGAATTGAAATGAATTGGAATGTGATGTGTTAAAAACACATTTTTCAATAGTTAAACAAATTCCAGGCTAGTCGTCAGTCAGTTTATCTAAAAAAATCTTCTGACAAAGGTAGAGATGTGTTTCTATTCATGTAAAATATTAACCAACTCGTAAGAATAAACGAAAATATTTAAACCAGGGAAAGTCAACACAATCATTTTTATTCAGATATTTTTATTTATTGATGCCTTTCTTCCAGTCCAATTTTAGTTGAAGGACTTCTACAATAACTCATAGTTTTTATATCTGCACATCAACTATAGTATATAAATTCCTAAAAAAATGACCGATTATCAAAGTTGCACCACTATACTTCCTCCTATAGCCGATCAAAAATTATTGCCAAAGAATAGAAGAATTAGATCTCTGGTAGCCTATTGGATATTGGGTTTATGTAATAATTATGGATACGTGGTCATGTTAACAGCAGCTAATGATATTATTGTTGAAAATACTAATGAAGAAGAGGTATGTATAATTGAATAAGTTCTATCTAGTAAGCGTAGTTTTGTTTTATTTCTCTATCTTCAGCCCCGCAGAACACGCTTTTTTCTTCTTACTGTTTTCTAGAACCATAAGTTACAGTTTTGGTGATGCTAGGAATGCCTAACTGGCTTTAATTTTTTAAAGGGTCATTTTTAAGATTAGGTCTATTAGATATTTAAATAATTTAATTGTTTTTTTATCGTATTTCTCAATTTTACCGTGAAATCAGTTACGCGACATATATTTTAAAGTTTATCATTTTAAAGATGCAAATTCGCCATCATTATTTTTAATTTAAATTTCCTAAACTTCTCTAACAAATAGCTCAATCGAAGAGTTATAATAATTACCATTAGGGCAGTGCTTCACACACACCGTATATCGTTATCATACAGTTTATATTGCTCCAATCTCTGATGGTATGTACAATATAATATTAATAACACAAGAATTCATACTTATTTCTGTGATCCCTCTTTCGTATAGGCAACTTTATATACATATTAAAATTAATATAGCGCCACCTTGTAGTTGTTACTGACATGATAGCAGGCATGTATACTGTTTTATTATTATAAATATGTATTTAACGTTATTATTTATAGCCTTGTTTATGCCAAGTCTCATAGATATTTGTAACTAGATTTTATTTATTTAATAAATAAAACATTTCATTTATTTTACCAACACCATATAATTATTTCACTAACGAGTACTTATTCAGTTTAAAATGCCAGTATGAGGAACTACTAAAACACATTACATATACAAATAATGTAAAATACATATTCCTATTGAAATCACGCGATTGTGTAACATCTAAAATAATATTTAACTAGAAAAGTATAATTCTTGTATGAAAGTATTTATTCGGAAAACATAAATTAAGTAAAACAACCACAGTACAAGAATCAATTAATCGTAGATGTTTAATCGCCTTATAAAATTTCATTGATCACTTCAAAATCAACAGCTTTGGAAAAAGGTACATTTAGTCCAATCGTCATATTTTGTCCTCAAGACTACCTGGTACCAAATGTGTCCCTTCAATACACACCCTGTATCCAAATACTCACAAACATTTTTTTGGAATCATTCCAATCGTGCGTCGCAAACAAATCTTATAGGAGTGTCCGTTTCTTTATGAGCCACACTGCATATATAATTATTTAATTTTTCAGGTAAAAAGCAAAACTAGAGAATGTACTTATATGTCGACTGGTATAATATTGTTGGCAGATATTCTTCCCGGATTAACAATTAAATTAATTGCTCCATTTTTACCATTCTTTATTCAGTGAGTATTAGCTTGATACGTGTGTAATAAAGTCCACAAATAAACGAAAATAATATCTTTAATCATTTATTCTTGTAATTTAAGATGCTTATCTAACTTTCTTTCGCAGACATTTTAGTTTTAACTATTAGTATTTGATAATAACGAATTTTAACCATGTTTTCTATAAATTAAGGAATTATCTAAATAATTTGTTAATGCTGCTAACTGCTACCCAAAGAGATATTGTACTTTGCCAAATTAATAGACCACTAATATTATAACAATTTTAAACAGTCTAGCAACTTTTGTAAACATCATGCACCTTAAATTAACTGAAGAAATTGTTAAAATCTTTCTATAATACTGTTGCCACATCATTGGTTTAGTCTTTTTTACGTTTCGAGAGACACAGCACTTCCTTCTTCTGACGACATATATGTCATTTGGCCTTACGGTTATATCAACATAGCGTTTCAATAGATGCTAAATCATATCACGATCTGGCCCAAAAACAAGCTATGATCAACACCTTAGTACTTCCAGCACTCACCATCTGCAGGTCATAACACTTGGAGGAAGAATTACATTATCTATGATCATCTCTCAGTGGAAATTGATATACTAACAGATATATTCAATAAGGCATCAGAAGGGTAACTAGGAACAAGAAAAAGAATAAATGTTTGACATCGTATTATCTTCCCTATATACAAATATGTACTGATAAGACAACCTCTTAAGAGAACTCTATTAATATAGTCTGCAATGGCAATAAAGAGGAATCAGCAACTACACAGCACAGAGCAGATGCAGTACATGCGATAGACCTAATAAGTAATGACCAAATTCTATTAAGAAAGACAAATTTGTGACGAAGACTTCTCAGAGAAACAAATGATGTCAAGAAAAATTGAAATACTTTCGATTGAGTTGAGGGCCTAGAATTACTTAACATTTGGAAATGATTCACCCATAACAATCAAAGACTGGAATGTTACAAGCCAGCGAATAAACTATCCTATGGCATTCAAACCGAGCATTGGATAGACTACACAACAATACCTACACAAGAAACATAAATACCAGTCAGAAGACTTCTGCATAAAAGAAACATGTGTCTCTCGAAAAGTCAAGAAGTCTAAGCCGACAATGTGAAAAAAATTTGGAAATTATTCAACCATTGTCAATAATAATTTATAACAATGTGATCCCGCAGAAAGGATACTCAATCTTGAAGCCACCGAAAAGAAAGTATTAGAATTCATATACATATTTTTTCATTCTTGCACAGCGTACAGTGACACCCTATATAATACTGTTTTTTTGTTTTGCAGTATTCGAGTAATCATCTGTGTATTATTGGCAGCAGGTGGATATTTGGTGGTTGCTTTTAGTAACAGCCTTTATTTATCAATTGTGGGAGTTGTGCTAACATCGTTTTGTAGCGGATTTGGAGAAGCTACTTATCTTCAATATAGTTCCTATTATGACAAGTAAGATTCTATATATAAAAATATGCCACAATTCCATGCATCAGCAACTCGGTATAAGGAATCTGAAAAGATTTTGGAAGCTGGTTAATGACTATTTTCAGAAAAGCCAAAATAACTAAATCTAGCTAGATTCATTTTATGGTTTAAATTTTATGTTTAAATCGGCTTATTTTGATCCTAGGTCATGCATTTTTCTCGGTATTTAAAGATAATGATAGTATGCAAAACAATTTCTAAGTCTGTCATAACTCAGGAAATTCTGTTCAGGTCTATCATTTATTCAGGATTTTTGGTTTAAAAAACCTCCTGAAGTCACAACTTCACTTTGTTGTATTGTAATATAGCCTTAGAAAACATGCAAACATGTAGATAACTATAATATTTACACATTTTATAGAAATGTCATTTCGACATGGAGTTCAGGAACGGGAGGGGCAGGAGTAATCGGAGCACTGTCTTACTCCATTTTACAAAGACTTGGAATGCGCACAACTCTATTAATAATGTTAGTTATTCCATTATCCATGGCTATATCGTAAGTAAATTTTCTGACTATCTGTTGTGTATATCCATACTCAGCGATGTATTACAGGTTTTGGATCATACTTCCCAAACCCTCAGAACAAGATATTGCGCATGCTTTAGAAATTCAGAAGATTGTTAATAACGAGGAAATGAAAAATCCTAAAGCGGCTATAAAAAAGAAATTATCACTTATTCCTGGACTTATGAAATATATAATCCCATTTTCTTTAGTTTACCTTTTTGAATATTTTATTAATCAAGGAACAGTAAGTATATTGGGCAATTTAACATATGTATTGAATAAATATTAGTATTTGTTGGTAAATATTCAGTATATTTGACTATCCTTAGTCAGTAAATCATCACAAACTCTAGCTCTACGCATGCGTTGTACAATATTTGGGCAATTAAACGCATAAATGTGTATGGAAATATCATATTCATCGGTATGTATTCGATATACAGTGTGTGGTAATATCCCAAGGAATTTACGTTTTTAAGGGATGCGTACCATTTCAAAACAGACGATATGTGTGGACAGACTTCTAAAACAAATTCAGAAATATTTTTATCAAATTTGGACACAAAATAATATAAGTGCTCTGTAAAATTGCTTCGCTAACAATTCATATATTTGTTAGTTTAATTCCAGGAACTAAAAATAAATTCAATAACTTGCAATCAAAAGCGGCATTTTATTCCTGGAAGATAAAAACAATGTTTTTACTTTCAACGAATTTAATAAAATAAATGTCTGTTTTAGTTTGAGTTGATACAGTTCAAGGATTCATTTGTATCCCAGCAAGCGCAGTACAGGTGGTTACAAGTAACATATCAAGTTGGTGTCTTCCTATCTAGATCATCAGTTAATCTATTTCATATTAGACAGACTTGGATAATGACAATATTTCAGGTAAATATTTATAAGACGAGAGAGAGAAATAAAGAGAGATGAGAGGGAGACATGGTGAGGGAGAAAGAGAGAGAAGGACGAGATACACCTTATTCTTTAGGATATTGCAATTTTTGTTTTGCTTAAAAAACCATAAAATATTATTCATTTAAATGCCTGAGGTAAGCTCACATATATCGACAACAGATAAACGACATACATCCAAACTCATCAAAAGACTATTTAAGGTTTTCTTAGCTTTAGATTAAAAAAAAATAAAACCATATTCTTATTCAGCTAATCCAAAAATAAAAAAAAGATTTTTTAAGAAAGCAATAACAGATCAAGGTAACTTGATCTGAAGCATGGCCATCAAACCTTTCGAGCTATTGCGGAAAGTTATAAAATATATCTACAGTTCATTACAAAAATTATTTTTTTATGTTTTAATAAGGCTTTCATCCTTTTTTTTGACAAAACCTTCCAACTTTTCTCCCATATTTATATATTTAGTCAAATACATACCAGGTGTAACAGGATCATGGTACACCCCCCGTATCTCCGTTAGTTGTAAAGGTAATTGATTGAAATTTGGGATATTCCATATACATAATAAGCGGCACTTTTTTATCTACAAATGATTTTTTTTCCACTTCCGGTTTCGCCGGAAGTGATACCAACTTTCGATTTTCAAATGGAATACCCTGTATATTATTACATTTCTGAAATCTGCATAATTTTCTGAATCCAATGATACCACATAAGTGACATTTCAAACGTCAAAATTTTTTATAATTTAATTTTTAGTTTTCCATTTAAGTGTGCCATGATGGTTCCGATTTATTCCAATTGACCCGTCTAATGCTGGAAAAATCGAAATCCCGTCAAAAATACTAAATTGCGTTTTTTATGAGCAAATAAAGTTCATCGTAATCGATTTTGGGGTAAAACTCAATTTTTTCAAATGGAACCATATTGGTACCGTGGTACCATTTATTAGTACTATTAATAAGGAATTAATTCATACCTGGTAATAAAATGTGCGATAAATACAATCAAAATTACAGCTAAAAGAAAATAAGAAAATACAATTATTTTGTTCTAATTTAATGCTAAGAAACTAAGGTGGCTTTGAAATACAAAAAATGAACACAAAACATTACAACAATTGTTCGAAATGCTGTCCATTAACGTCAATGCACTTCTGAACTCGCATAGCTGTTTCTTGAAGAACGTTCGCTAATTGCTGGGCCGTTATACTATTAATTGCACGTCTTACTCGCAACTCCAGGTCTTCGCGGGTTGTAACGGCGGTTGCATAGACAATGTTTTTTAAATGGCCCCAAACAAAGAAATCGAGAGGTGTCAAATCAGGTGACCTTGGAGGCCATCGCACAGGACCATTCGTCGAAATTACGTTTCCTTCGAATGCCTGTTGAAGGTAATCAATTACTATTCTTGAATTATGGGGAGGAGCTCCATCTTGTTGGAAATACATTCCCTGTCGTAAATGGACAGGTAATTGAGTTAAACTGTCCTCAATTTCATTTTGCAGAAATCCTAAGTATCTAGCACCAGTCAAGGGTCCTTCAAATATTATTGGACCAATGATTCTACGACCGAGTATTCCAAGCCACACATTGAAACCGAACCGCACTTGAAAGTTACCCTCCCGCAATAAATTTTGATTTTCTTGGGACCAATACCTTGTATTTTGTCGGTTAAATAATCCCATATTTGTAAACCTACACTCGTCCGAAAATAAAATCCTTCCCAAAAGAGCATTGTTTGGCTGCACATTATTATGCAAGATCCAATTGCAATATTCCATTCTACGTTCATGATCATTTTCGTACAGGTGCTGGTGCAATTGATATTTGAAAGATTTATAATTATGTTTGTGCAAGATTCGGCTTACCGTTTGGTGACTAATTCCCAATTCAACCCCAATTTGCCTTAAAGAAACAGTCTTATCAACTTCTATTCGAAATAAAACATTAATTTCCGTTCCTTCGTCGATGATAACGTTTTCTTCGGGATCATGGTTAGGCTCTCTTCGGAATTGATTTTCAAGACGATTAAAATAATTTCTCGCTGGACATTGTCTATCAGGATATCGGTCGGCATAAAGGTTTCTAGCCGCAACGGCATTTTTTCTACATTCCCCATAAATAATTAACATGTCCACTTTTTCATCCCTTGTATAAATGTGCGGCATTTTGAACAAAAATAACAACAAATGTAAAGACTTTTCCAATACACAATAAAAACACCGATAAACCAACAAAATTTATTTGACAGTCTGAAGGAATAATTTCATTGTTTTCAAAGCCACCTTAGTTTCTTAGCATTAAATTAGAACAAAATAATTGTATTTTCTTATTTTCTTTTAGCTGTAATTTTGATTGTATTTATCGCACATTTTATTACCAGGTATGAATTAATTCCTTATTAATAGTACTAATAAATGGTACCACGGTACCAATATGGTTCCATTTGAAAAAATTGAGTTTTACCCCAAAATCGATTACGATGAACTTTATTTGCTCATAAAAAACGCAATTTAGTATTTTTGACGGGATTTCGATTTTTCCAGCATTAGACGGGTCAATTGGAATAAATCGGAACCATCATGGCACACTTAAATGGAAAACTAAAAATTAAATTATAAAAAATTTTGACGTTTGAAATGTCACTTATGTGGTATCATTGGATTCAGAAAATTATGCAGATTTCAGAAATGTAATAATATACAGGGTATTCCATTTGAAAATCGAAAGTTAGTATCACTTCCGACGAAACCGGAAGTGGAAAAAAATCATTTGTAGATCAAAAAGTGCCGCTTATTATGTATATGGAATATCCCAAATTTCAATCAATTACCTTTACAACTAACGGAGATACGGGGGGTGTACCATGATCCTGTTACACCTGGTATACACTACCAACTCTACTTGAATTCGGAGAACCCCCGATCATTTTCTGGGTATGCCGCCATTAGAAAACTTGTTCAGAATATAAGGAATTATATTAATTTATATTTTTTCATAACATACTGACAAGGTGCTAGATTGTACACTTAATTTTTTCCTTTTCCTTTTAAAAAAATAATTTAATTTTTTGGTTTGTTTGTTTTAGGGTATTAATGTTGTAATATTTACAACAGAAGTTATATATTACTATATTCCAAATTTTTATATAGTTATTGCTCTCACTTTATGGGAAGGACTTTTGGGAGGATCTTCATATGTTAATACATTCTACAGAATTTCTAGAGAGGTAGGTACTTAAATTCACATGTAAAATAATCAACTAAGTATAAAAGTTATTTACTATGCCAATATTTAATACAAAGTGAGATACCATCGAAACAATTAAAGTGCAACATCACAGCAATGGTCGGTAGATACAATAGATCGCAACTTACTCCAGTCGGATTAAATTTAAAATAATCAAGTTTTGAAATTTTGTATATGAATCGATGGCAAATAGTGCCAAAAATAAAGGTCTGAACAGTTCCCAGTTTCTGGTTGATAGAACATAAATCTTTTCAGGAAAAATCACCCTTTGAAGAAACGGGTTTTCCACACTTTTAACCCAAACTGTCATCGGAGAAATTAAATAAATATATAACTTTATGAATAATATGTACATATTAAATAAGTGAAGGAATTATATGAAATGAAACCATAGGAAGAAGACCTAGAGCTGTTAACCATCAGACTTTAAACAACTAATATTTTCTTTTCCTCCAGACTTTTCTCATTGAAGAACCTCGGCCCTGACCATCAGGATCATTGCAATGTCACTTTCTCAAGATTTATAGTTCTATCGATATCTTCAGGCAGTTGCGAAGAACCAAGAGACGGTGAAAACCAATGATAGAAATTGTAATATTTGTAGAGAAGCCGTCACAATATTACAACTTTATAATGATGATTCTCATAAACATAGCATTTTTATCCACTCATAATACAAGAACACAATTTCGTTGCATATTCCAAATCACAATCAAAGAGTGACCGCAAAAATCGCCTGTTTTTTCATAGTTCACAGAGAACTAAAGAAAATAGATAAAAATATGTTTTTGGTCTCAAATTACTCGTTGTAAAAAATTAAGATGAGCATAGCTTTTAGTTTTCTGAAAATTTTCAAAAATCACCCCTATTTAGGGGTTGAAAAGACCAAGATGAAGAATTGAATTGAAAACTATAAACTATTGGCATGTAAATTTTTCTATCGAATGTTGAATTAGAAAATCCATCCTTAAGCGCGCTCAGGGGGTGGAGTCATCCCCAAAAATAGAAAATATCAAAAATAATTGCAAAAATTCCAAAAAAAAATATATTAAGATAATTCACATGCTAATAGTTTTTATATCAATTGGTAATATTCAAATTCTTCAATTTTGGCATTTTTTCAACCCCTAAGTAGGGGTAATTTTAAAAATTCTCAAAATACTAAAAGCTGTGCTCATTTCAGTTTTTTACGACAAGTAATTTGCGACCAAAACCATATTTTTATGTATTTTTTTTAATTCTCTGTGAATTGTGAAAAAACAAGAGAAAATCACAGGTTTTTTGCGGTCACTTTTTAGATTTGAAAATTTTCATACCTACTCCAAATTTTTGATTTACCTTTTAATGATACTGTCGTAGAGACATATTCTCTTAGTTTGACAAATATTACCAGAGCCCTAAATTTGACACATTATTTTTTTGACATCCTGTACGATGAAGGTGCAGTGAATAATGAAATTGAACAGTCAGTGTTGAAACTACTGTTAAAATTACTGATTATTAATTAAATTTGTTGACAGTTATTTATTATTGCAGGTACCTGAAGAAAACAAACAGTTCTCTATGGCAATTACTACCTTCGGAGACAGCATTGGAATAGCATTAGCAGGGGTGCTAGCCATTTTCGCTCATAATAAAATATGTGATCTACCTATGCCATAATGTATATAAAGAATGTAGAAAAAAAACGAATAAAAAGTATTTTTCTTTATAGAAAACTATGAAAATTATTTAAAAAAATTTAAAAATCGGGATGGAATCCTGAAACTACCCTCTAAAACAATTCCTAACAGAGTGCATTTTCTTCTCTTAAAAGCAATTCAAACTTGATAGATTGAAGCATCTCTTTAAGCGGCTGTAGCTTCCTTTTGAAATTCCAAACACTGTTAGGAAAATTAAATTTTTATGGCTTTTCAAGAGTAGTGCTTCATAACAGGTCAGAATAAATCTGGAAGTAATAAAATCATATTTAAAACAATTAAACATACAGGAGTGTCCCTTAATTCGTCTGTCAAAATTCAAAGGCAAAGTCACAAAAAATATGTTGCCTGGAAGCCACCCTGAATCGGGAGTCACTATAGTCAAAAGTGTGCACCAAATTTGGTACTTATATTTCAATTGATTTGGAATGGAGAGTTTGGAGAAGAAATCATTATCTTCAAACTTCGTAAGCACTTAGAAGCACCAGACTTGCCTAACTGGCTGGGCTACTTATAAAGATCATCCGGTGCACATATGTCGTTTGGCAGAAAACTGCAGCATATATTACGCTACAGCCTCTCTTAAGACGTATCTGCCGAAACGACAATTATATAGTTTATCTGGTAGTTACACCGCTGCCACCAGGTCAGGTAAATAGTGAAAAATTCCAGCTGCTACTTTAATGCTAAACAGCGAGTGATAAGTATGTACAAAGAACTTTGTAAATACTGTTAATCTGCATATAATTGCTAAAATTCGTTGGCGAAACTGGACAATAATTTGTAGCCTTCCATACTAGTTCCGTCTCCTCCATTCAATGTATCAATAATCTCGAAGTTAGTTTCTGCTGACTTGTGTTGACCGGAGGGGCCATAGTTGTCACCCAGAACAAGTAAAACGACAGCCAACAATATTGTGATTATTTGATATAAGCGGAATCACATTTTTGCACACGTGTGTTGGAGACACGGTTGCGTTGCGTTGGTTTGACTTCTAACAAAACATGAATTGATAATTCCAAGAGATCCGTTACTTGGACCTGTGACGAATATGATGAAATGAAAGACAAAGCCAAACCTGCAAACCTGCATTTTTGGAATGAAAAAGCCAATAGCGCACAAGCGCTTGAACAAATTAAAAAGTAAAACTCTCTTAAACTTTCGGGTGATTTTAAGAACATATTTCTTGCCTTATGATAAGTCTTCAATAATTGAAACTCTAACGACGAAAGCAAGCAGAACTTAATGAAAGAAAGCCCAAATGAGAAACAAATATTAAAATTAAATGCCTTACCCAGTTTACTGGATGAAACGGATTCAATTTCAATCGTAAAATAATACATTTAATCGCATCAAATAAATGAATAAATGTTTTTTTGAAGGCATATCAATACGACAATAACGTCCCTCTTCTTGTTTAATTTTTAATTAAATCGAGTAATTTTTGGCCGTCCATTACTTCATATTCTACATTTTTCTTTGATAATTTCAGTTCTTCTATTTCAAATATGATCTGTTATATTTGAATCACTGCAATATTTTGACTAATTTGAAGATGTGCTCCTATCTAAAATATAACTGCAACGTTCTGCGCTATTTATTAATCTGTAAAATAAACGTGTTTCACACAAAAAGGCAAAGTATATACATTAAATAATTTGTTATTTACAAATGAGTTTATTGGCACATACAACATAATCAAAAGAACGATTTAAAATTAAAAAAAATAGGAACAATATAATACAGGATAATGTAAAATATAATTGTCAGCAGTTACATTATTACCTACAACAAAATCTCTCTCGACTGACTAGCTTTTTTACAAAATATTGGCAACATGAAATATACAAAAATAAAATGACATTTTTTATTTAATGAATCACAGCTATTAAAAAAATCCTTATTAAAAAATATATCACAATAATTATAAAATAAGTGGGTATATAAAAGTCTCGTATACTGAAATATAAAATTTTAATAATTCGATTATTAAAATAATCTCAAATTATTTGCTTAATATCTTAGAATTTCCAAGCAATAAAAAGAACAATTTCAGTATTCGATCACACTTAATCTATGTAATAGGGTTAGTAAATCGTGAATGTCAAGGTTGAACTGCATATAAAAAGTAAGAATTGAGAACTGTTAACTATGCTTCAGCCCAGTAGGACTCGTTTTTTTTCCATATCGTTAGAGTTAAAATATTCTTCAAAAATTCAATTGTGGGATAAGTAACTAGACTAGAAATATAAATTAATATTCACTGGTTGTACATATTTGTATAGTGTAGCTAACACGAATGTATGGTTACTTTACACCTTACAAATGCAAATTTAATTAGATGTCATCTAAATAAACAACGAATACTATATCAAAATATTCGCGAATATGTCAAATGAAGTGGTAACACTGGCAAGGCCTACATTTTTTAAATATGCTTCCTCCTAAAGAACGATTATCATCATCGTTAGTGGAAAATGCAAATTTGCAAAAATAGATCCGATCCAGAAATATTAGCAGATTTAAAGACTCGGTAAATAACCTGCACAAAAATTTCACGCATTTAACGATGTTGATGGGACAAAAAATAATAATACGAAACAATGAGACCTACAATTTCAGTTCAAGATAGGCTAGCAATAACACCGAGATTTCCTGCTAGGCACTACTTTTTTAATATGTTGTCTCTTTAGATCCTTTAATTCGATGAATTTTAAAGATTTTTCTTCACATCGTTTCGCCACAAAAATTCGTGTGGTTAAAAAAAATATCCAAATGCACTACGAGCAACTAACAATTGGACTTCTTATATTTGTCAACATAGTTCAGTCATTTTCTAAATTAAAGTTCTACAAAATTTATTTAAAATATATAATAGTATGCGCTTTCCTTTGTTCCTAACAAATTTTGAGCATACAGATATTATTCTTTTCGAATTAATGAACCCAAGTATGGCCCTGACTTGCACGGGTTAGAACAGACCCTACCGTGTAAATATAAACTATTCTATAACATTTATCGTTTTACGAATAGAACAATGAAATACTTTAATCTCCATAAACATATCAAGGGCGTCATATCAGAAGGGCGTACAAACCAAATCTGAAATTTTACAGGCATACGCCTTTCTGATATTATAGTTTTGCAAAATTGGTTCATAAATGCATTAGAATAATGTAAAATGTGTTAGAATAGAGTTTTGATATTTATGAATATATACGCCCTTCTGATATATTAAGCGAATTGGTTAAATGAGGTCATATGACCTAAAAACCCAGAACCGACTATAGTGGCTCTTACGCCCTTCTGATATGATGCCCTCGATATATAAAAAATAGTTAATAAAGCCCTGCACCACAAGGATTTGTTTTTTAAGAAAGAAATCTCAATTTATTTCATTTTTTCACTAAAATGTCCAAAAATATGTACTTAATTTTAAAAACGAAGAGAAACTCTTTTTATAGGCAAAAATAAGAAAAAAAATCGCAGCTGACTGATCCTTGTGGCAGAGGTATACTTCCTACTTTTTTTTAAATTTTAATTTACAGTGTGGCAAAGTACCCCGAAAAAAAGAACTACTTAGGAAATGCCACAAATAAATACTTTCAGAGTGCATATAAAAAATGTCATTTCTACGGTATCTTAATTCACTTCATTACAGAGTACGAAATCAGTCAATAATAAAATAATTGAATGAATCCACCAGTCTTAAAATTGAAATACTGAAAATTTTTTATAAAGTCTAAGATAAACTTTTATAAACATTTCGATTGCACGATAATTTTTCCTCCTTCTTCATACTCCTGTTTAGAAACCCAGAGCTGTTGGAAAGAACCTAAGGAACTTAAAATTGAACCACCCGTCCACGCGCCAAACCTGCGCTCAGAAACTCCCGGTGCACTAATGATTTTTAAGCGCATACTCTGAAATTAAAAATTATGTAGAAAATATGACTAATTACAACAAAAATTCATATGATTATTCAAAAGAATTTTATTTTTTATCGATGTAATATATTTTAAAAAATGCTTCATAAAAATATATCATAAACTTACTGGTGGGGTTTTAGCTGCTAAATCTCTATTTAATCTCTCGGTGAATCCTTGGAGACTTGAATTACCCCCAGTTACAACGACACTGCCATACATGGCCTAAAACACAAATACATAGCCAGCCAGCCAGCCTTCATAAATAATTACAAGCCAAGTGGTAATATTGTTTGGAACAGTAATTTCATATCCTTCACGTTGTCAATTAAATTTCAGTAAAATTAAAGTGATAAAAAGACATTTTGTTTCACCGGTTGGTAATTGGTGACATTTTTCACGAGATACTATTCAACCAATCAGCAATCACATTATCTCGAGCGTAGAGGTAACGGTTTGTGATTATTCATTGTAATCGAATCATTAGCACTGGTGACGCTATAAGATTTAAGGATTTTCAGTCGACAGTACCAACCGTGCAATGTTGGTTGCCTAAGTGCGGTGATCACATGGCTTGTACACATTTATGAAGGCTTTGTAGATACTTTTGGACGATATGGGAACCAGTGAAAGAAGTTTGAATTTTTATTTTCTACTGATATAAGATTGTGCATTAAAACCCAATTATAATAGAAATATAGAACAAAAAATTAATAACCGTTGATTTTAAGCACAGCATAGATGTTTTCGACTAAAAAGTTCAAAAATACATACAACCATATATACGGTGTTTCTTTTTGTTGGAATCAACTTCCAATATAATAGGAGGTTGGAGAAAATTTAAAATAATTTGGTTCAAATCTTTGTGTGGAAAAAAATAGACCTACTAATTTCAGGATTCCTATTAAAACTGTGTTTCTCCCAATACAAGTTTCAGAAATAAATCACAATCAAATCAGAGACTAAAAGATATTTAGTTTCAATTTTTTGCACTCTGTGGAGTGAAATAAGCGAAACTATTATTTAAAGTTATTTTATATACTGGTTTGACCGATGCCACAAAGATCACATATACAGGGTGTTAGAAGTTTGATTGCCTTAATTTTAATAGACGATAGAATACATTAAAATAAACAAAAAAACTTTATATTACATGGGTCCTAAACTCAACCATTTACAAGAAAAAAATGATCAAAATCTCCAACTTGATGTACAAAAGTTCGATTAAAGAAGATTGACATAACTGCGTGCTTAGAATACCATAAAATACAATGTTTATCACTTTTTTGAACTTCTTTATGCTTAATTCTAAAAAATAATTAGCGTTGTAATAAATTAATTTACGAGGTACTAAGCTGTCCAGCAACCAGTAATATGCAATTCAGTTGGTATCTGGAATTCGACCGTGTCGGAGTGTTTTTTTGCGTACCACTATTATTTAATTTAATTTAATAAAATTGGATTCGAAGGTGTCGTGCTTGCATCGAAAATGGTAGTGGACATTTTGAGCATATGTTGTAGTTTGTTTGTTTGAGCGTGGTCCTTTACTAAATGTTTCACAATAATAATTGATTACATTTTTGTTATTCCATAGGACGTCTGCTGGATGCACATGTGGTGTGCATCAGCTGTGTGGCATTAGGCTGTGGCATTAGCATTATGTTGTGATGAATACTCGCTGTATTTTGAAAACTGTTAATCTAACGCCCCTGCAATATACAACTTTTTTGTTCATTTATGATTACTCTATCTCATGCTGAAGTAATGGCAGTCAAACTTCTTACACCCTGTAGACAACATGTTATGATATGTACATTCTAACATGTCAAATTACCTAAGCAACAATTCGGATTACATTAACACATGCGCATTTTGACTTTTCCAGGTTTTCCTTGATTATAAAAACAAATCCAGGTCACTTGTAGTTCATTTTTACATACTAATTGATGTTTATGAATTAAACTTTTTCTAGACTGGATTCCATAATCCTTTTTATACCCAAAGAACCTTGTATAAAGGTTTCAAAACAACAAATAGTTTTCTCTTTCAAGAACCCAGTGCCTGCTTTCACAAAATTTCTAGTAGCAAACGTCAAATTCCCGGACTTTCATGAATACTTTTAAAATTCCCCGACTATTCCGTTTTTTTATGAAGAATAATGAATTCTCTGACTTTTCACGGTATTCCCGGTTTTCCAGGCCACTAGGAACCCTGTTTTAGTAAAAAAGTAAATTTAATGTGACACTTTACTCAGCGAAATTAAGAACTAAAGCAGTACTTTTAATTTGTGATGTGCCACAAATGAAGTTGCTTTGTTTTCTCGACAAAACAAACATTAGTATTTCCTGTTTTTTAATTGTGTTACAACAGTTTTTGTCTCCTTCCACTTCGAGTCATTAGACAAACATCACACCTCTATTACCTACTACTTTTTAGTCGCTATAAGACAGTTTTTACAAATCCCCAAAATTTGTAAAAAAAAATCAAGTCTCTACTACTCTATTCTCCTCTACTTTACTACTAACCCAATATAACTGTACTTACAGGTCTAATATCAATGTCACACATTCCAACACTTGTTGTAACCAGCGATCCGACACCCAATATTGGCTGAATTCCAGCTTTAGCACCAGTAGTAGGATTGAAAAGAGGCTCAGGGATTTTAAACCGCTCCACGCCGAAATCGCGATGAAAACCATTCGGAAATTCATAATGATTTGCGGGCATCGTTTTCACCACTTCTTCATCGTACGAAACATCAGACACTTGTAAAACTGACGCTTGAAAATCCTGCATAACTTCCTAAAAATATAAATTTAATATTAGCAAGTCAGATGGGCAATTTATCCGCAATAAACTTAAAAATAGAAAAATACTTGTATACAGTATATGTACTTATATAATTGAAAATTATTTTTATCAATTTCTTTTGTCAGGACTTATTTTCATTAAAAATTAATCTCTAAGTTCATAAACACCCTCTACATAACTATTACATACCAATATGCAGACCAAAATTTTAGTTTAAATTCTTAATTTTGTCATTTTTGAGAAAATTTTTACTTTTCCGACATTAAAAATAAATTTATAAATTCTAAACACCCTGTACAAACAATTCTGAAAAATAAATTAAATGGGTTACTATAACAATAACGCTCTTAAAAACTTGGGAGATACCATGGTTGATTAGTACCTCCTGTAATTTTTCAATATATGTATATTTTTATGTATATACCTTAATCATATAATTATACCAACTCTCCGTTAAATTTGATGGTATATCACGGCGTTTCCAAATTGGAGATTCCTCAGACTTCATTATTTCTTTGTAAGCCACTATGGCAGGTGGTACAAGTTCAATGCCCTTGTCTAATAGATATGTTTTACACTGTGAACTTAAATAATCACCACCAACTGGAGATTTTACAACAGCTTGTGTTAAAACGTATCTGAAAAAATATTTACAAAATTACCAAAACAAACTAAAATATTTGATAAGATTTTTTTAATAACTTTATTTTTATTAATCTTAAAATTAAATCACCAAAATACAGGATTTGCTTCAATTTCTGACTATTTGGAATTTATGTAATAATAATACAAGGTGTTTCAGGAATTACTGGCATACTTGCAGGGAGTGATTGTACAGTCAAAATAAATGAGATTTACCCAAACATATCTATATCGAAAAATTCACCGTTTCCCAGATACAGGATGTCAAAGACTTCAAAATTTTTATTATAAAAACGTAAGATACCTTAAGTTTTGAAATATCTCTGCATATCGTAGTTTGTGCATGGTGAGGCCCACGCTTTAGTAATATTTCCCGACTGATTTTCTGACACTACTGTGTCATTACTAAAGTAGATTTACAAGTTTCCTTTAGTTTTTGATACAAACATGCCTGAATTTACAAAAAATGAATACGCAGATATGCATTTATTTTTGGGTTTTTCTTTACTAAAACATTATAGCGACTTTAATTCGATTATTCTTTGGCGAAAGTCAAGGAATGCCCCTCTAGCTGTTAGATTGCATGCAGAACAAACAAACAATACAAGCCGTTGATCAACGTTTACGCGAAACAAGTAAATTACTACCAACTAATAATAATATCGATTTATTAGACAATCTAACATAGAAGAACAAATTTTACACACAATCGGAATATTTAAACATACTGAATTATTAGACTAAAGATATCCCATTACAACCTAGATTTATTGTTGTTTTATCACGAAGAGTTCCAAGTAAAAAAAAATATAATAAAAATTTGGAAATCTCGGGAACGGTAAACTTTTAGATACAAATATTTGGGTAAATCTCTTTTATTTTGACTCTACAATCACACATTGCAAGGATGCCAGTAATACCTGAGATATGATGTATGATTAAATAGCGCAATCTTACATTACAATTTTAATAATAAACTTGTTAAAAATTGCTAAACACGGTGTATTAAATAACTTATTTGTCATATCAATAAATCTCAGTTTTCAAGGCAACGTAGTGAAATATGATGATGAATAATAAGTTGAAGAGAAATTTTTGTCCATCTTTTTTCATTTTGAAGTTATCAACGAAAAAACGGAAAATTTTTATTTTCTTGTTTATTTCAAGTAAGATGGTGTTTTGAGTTGTTACTCCAATTTACCTGGTCGCCGCTAGTTACAGATTTTTTAACTGAAGATCCATCTCTGATGGCTGGTTGTCAATTAAAGAAATAAATAGAAACAGAAATTTTCAGTTCATCAATAACTTCAAAACGAAAAGATTCTCTTCGTCATATTTTTCGCCATCAAAATTCGCAATTTTGGTGTACAGAATGTTTCCAAAATACAATAAAAAGGAGTTATATTGTTGAAAGATATATAAATCCTAATATAAACTAGTTACATTTCCATTTTTTTTTAAACGTTTTTATTTCCATTGTTCATGTTCATGTAACAATTATTATAGTGTTTACGAAGATAGTTGAAACCGTATAAAAACTAAAAGTCTGCATCTCTTTATTGTGCAAGTCGGCATCTCTTTAGTGTGCCCGGACTGCACGGGCACAATAAAGAATTTAGTTTTTATACGGTTTCAACTATCTTCATAAACACTATACCAAAGATAACATAAAAAGAAACTGCAATGTTCACATTCACATACAAATAAATGTTCCTAAATACTAAATATGACTATGTAAGATATATATTAATTAGTTAGCCACATGACTAGTAATTTTGTTTGTACCAGTAATTTTGTTTGTACCAGTAATTTTATTTTCTTCAAGTTGGCAATTAAATTTAGGTAAAATTAAAAATCATTAAAGTAATGGTTTATTATAGTTTATTGTAAACATGTCATTAATATTGGGAACGCTAAGATTTATGGATTTTCAGTTGACAGCATCAGCTGAGCAATGTTGGTTGCCTAAGCACGTTGGTTACGTGGCTTGTAATCATTTATGAAGGCTCTGAACGTATTACATATACACTATGATAATAAAATATATATTGTTCTTCTTGCATTTTTTTTTAGTATCTGAATACGTACTACTTGTTGCAGGTCTTAAGCAGTTCCAAATAATGTGGTCATTTACCAAATATTTTTCAAATGCAAACGAATGCCATATCGTGTGAATGCTGTATATTGATATATTCGTAGGCATATTTTCATTTGCCAAATATTCACCAAAGCTATGAAAACTGCACACAAATAAAATTTACACGACACCTGCTGCCATGACCACATTAGGTAGGGTTAATTTTGACATATTTATGAGAAAAATGGCAAATACTCATTCACTCAAGTGGTTGACCCGCGAACAACTGGTAAGTATACACGTACCTAGAATGTTTAGGAATATTTGAGAAGATACAGACACTTCATAAATGATTACAAGACACGTGACCAGTAATTTTATTTAGAGCAATAATTTTATTTCCTTCATGTTGGCAATTAAATTTCGGTAAGATTAAAACAATGAGATCAAGATTACATTAAAATGCCACATTCTGTTTCACCGGCTGGTTATTGGTGTAATTTTTCACGAGATTCTATTCAACCAATCAGCGATCGAATTATCTCAAACGTAGACGTAATGGTTTGTCATTGTTTATTGTGAATGAATCATTAACATTGGTGACGTTAAGATTTAGCGATTTTCAGTTGGTAGTACTAACCGTGTATTGTTGGTTGCCTAAGATCGGCGGTCACGTGACTTGTAAACATTTATAAGGGTCTGTATTTGTTGTGTGGAAGCTAAATAATCTGTGCAAGATTGCAAGATAAACATCACAGCCTGTTTTTGGAAGTGTTGTCCTTGGTAATTAATTGATGATATGCTATTAATTTTAATCAAAAATCATGTCCTTTAAAGAAATACGATACTATGATAACTAATTGAATTATTTCAAATTGCTTTTCCATTTCCCAGATTTTAAAAAAATGTATTTGAAAAATTTGTTTTTTCAGTTCTATATCGGGTTAAGGAAAAATCCGACTTAAAAGTTATCTTGTCTATCATTTTTAATCAAGTATGGTAAATGTACACACAAAAACCGTTCATTATATTTAGCTGTAACTAGTTAAATGTTAAAAAGAAAGTTTCAAATGACTTAAAGATTCTCAAACTTTATATTTATTTTTAAAAGTCAGTAGTCTAAATCTATGAACATCCAAATAATCGAAAATGTTTATATCTATAGTATCATGAAAATATTTACCCATCATGAACAGGAACTGCTGAGGTATGAGTGGCTCCGCTGTCAACCACCAAGCATGTTGGTCGTCCATTGGCAAATGCGGCTAAACTAGCATTTTTAGCTAAATAAACGGCAGGAACATTATACTTTTCGAACATCAACTCTGCCATTTCTTCTCGTTTAGGTGGTGTAATCCATGGAGGCTCCGTTAGTAATATTGGATGATCTTTTGGAATTGCTTTAAGAGCATTATTATAAATGTAATCCAGAAAATTTTCAAACATATCCCAATTATCTACCATCCCTTCTTTCAAAAATGAACTCAATTCCATTTCTAAAAAGAAATATGAACTTATAGAACAATTAGCACAAAAAAAGCTAATATTGTGTTTTAATAATTTCATATAATGGCATAGTCTGCGATATATAAGGTGTTAAAAATAAATTGCAACAAACTCCGAGAGCTGTAACACTCATCAAAACAAGTGAAATAGTTCTTAAAAATGTATTCTCTAGAATATATAATAAAGAACTACGGCCCTTAAAGAATGAAATGAAAAAGATTTAATTTTATATTCAATACCAATTATTTAAATAAAAAATGAAAAATGCACTACTTAAATACAATACAGGGTGTCCCGAGATTCATGCAACAAAATTTGGTCATAGATTCTTATTTTTTCTTTTTGCCAACTGGCCCCCTCTTTTGGAGTTACAGCCCCCTTAAATCTGCCCCTAAGAAGTCTTTTCTATATCTCAAAACCATGTTGTACGAGAATCACTAAATTTGGTACACAGGGATTTTATGACATGTGGAATCTCACAGTGCTATGCTTTTTGGCGAGAAACCCCCTTAAGACACTTTTTCGTGGGCCTCCTTAACTTTGGAACCAAAAAAATTTTGTCGCAAATTAGATTTTTTTTTAAATTATTAGTCAACTAGAAAGCCATTGAACTTAGAAACTTTTTTGTCCCTTGATATTTGTTTCATAAAACGCAATGTTTTTGAGGAAAATGGCGAATCAAGATATGCATTCGATCACATTTTGACATTTTTCTCAGAAACATTGCGTTTTACGAATAAAGTATAAGGAGATAAAAAGTTTCTAAATTTAATGGCTTTCTAGTGGACTGATAATTTTTAAGAAATTTAAATATGCGACCAAATTTTTTTGCCTCCAAAGACAAGGGGGCCCACGAAAAATTGTCTTAAGGGGGTACCCTGCCAAAAAACGTAGCACCATCAGATTCCACATGTCACAAAATCCCTGTGTACCAAATTTAGTGATTCTCGTACAACAGGGTTCTGAAATATAAAAAAAAAGATTATTCTTAGGGGCGGACTTCAGGGGGCTGTAACTTTGAAAGAGGGGGCCACTTGGCAAAAATAAAAAATACAGGTCCCCTAAATTTGTCTTAAGAATCTGTGACCAAATTTTGTTGCATGAATTTCAGGACACCCTGTATAGTTAATCTAATTGAAAAATTGAAGTAGGTACATTATTGATTGGTTTCAAATATTACACGAGATTTATTGCAAATCATATGTGAATCCATATAAAATGAAGGTTAACATAGCAACAACAGTTGTTGGTGATGCAATTTAATAAATGGATTCTGTTGAAACTATAGGGACCATAAACTGATTGATTCCTTTAGTGAGGTACGAAAATTCTAAATCTTTGTTAATCCACTCATAAAAGAAAACTCTTCATCTTTTATTTTGAAATAAAGTTTACTAATAAAAGAACGGAAACATACACACATGTTGAAAACACAGCTGTTATAAATGGAGTACCTAAATGTGTTTGCTGTACACTGGTACGATAATCACATAGTTTCCCTAATATCTAAATGGTACATGTGTATGAGGCTGAAACTAGCAGCCAGACTCATCAGCGAGACCATATATAAAATACTGATTATTTAAAAGGGGAAAAATCATATTATACGATAAAAAATAATCATAAAATAGTATAGGGACCAATGTTTATACAAATTACGCACTTGTATTACATATACAACTTATTTTGACGTACTTAGAAAAGAAAATTTATACATCTTTTTCTACCACGAATTGGTACGCCAAAATAGTATGGAGTTTAGTTAAATTCATCTCTTATTATCCACAAATAAAATTATAATGGTACATCCCTTATATACTGCAAACAAAATTGTTTAAATGGTGCCCAGACCATCCGTTTATAAATAAATAGCTTTAACGAGATTCGAACCATGAATTGAAAGCAGAGAAACATCTGGAATATGTTTTTAGGTGTCCTCTAAAATGTCGAACATAAATTGTGAGGGTACACCTTTTAGTTACAGCAAAAAAAATATTTATATCATGCCCAGACCATTTATTTATATATAGATAGCTGTAACAAGATTCGTACCATGAATTGAAAGCAAAGAAAAATCTGGAACAGGTATGTTTTTACGAATCTCACTACAGCTATTTATTTATAAACAGACGGTCTGGGCACAATATATACAATTTTTTTGCAATAACTAAAAGGTGTACCATCACAATTCTTATTCGATATCATAGAGGGGACCTAGAAAGGTATTCCAGAATTTTCTCTGCTTTCAATTCATGGTACAAATCTTGTTACAGCTATTTATTTATAAACATTTTTTTTGCAATAACTAAAAGGTGCACCCTCACAATTCTTGTTCGATATCATAGAGGACGCCTAAAAACATATTCCAGAATTTTCTCTACTTTCAATTCCTGGTACGAACCTCGTTACAGCAATTTATTTATAAACAGACAGTCTGAGCATGATATAAACATTTTTTTTGCAATAACTTAAAGCCTTACAACTATGGTTCGATATCATAGAGGACACCTAAAAACGTATTCCAGAATTTTTTCTGCTTTCAATTCATGGTACGAATCTCGTACAGCTATTTATTTATTTATAAATAGACAGTCTGGGCATCATTTAAACATTTTTTTTGCAATATATAAGGGATTACAATTTTATTTGTGAATAATAAGAGATGAATTCAACTAAAGTCTACACTTGACAGACCAATTCGCGGTAGGAAAAGAGGTCTAAGAAGGACAAGATTATTATTGCACAAAATAAGGTGTAAATGTAATACAAGTTCATAATTTGCATAAACATTGGTCCCTATACTATTTTATGACTATTTTTAAGCATATACGATTTTTCCCGTTTTAAAAAATTAATATTTTATATGCGGTATTGTGATGATCTCGATGATGAGTCTGGCTGCTAGTTTCAGCCTCATTATCATGTCCGACAAACACGCTAAAATATGATAATATTTGTCATTGGTCTTCTCATACTGGTAACAGAGATAGACATGAAAAACTCAATTGCATAGGAGTCACAAATAAAATTGAAAAATACAGAGGACAACTATGCCTCGATAAATAAATAATTGTTTTAAACTGCTTAACCTTACAAAATATTTTAGGTTAGAAAATTTGAACAATTGTATTTTGTATGCACAATGTTCCCGTTTGGCAACAAAATTTTTACATTTAATTTTTTTAATAATTTCTTGTTAGAATAAAAACTAGTATGTATATGTTATTTATGATACCCTATAACACTAAAAATCTATAAAAAATTGTTTTCATCGATTGCAAATAAATCGTGCAACAATTTACGTTCATTGCAGTACAGATGTTGAAGTGCTCTTTGATCTTACTTTATGCCAAATGCGAAATGCACATCTGATATTTAAAAAACGTTACAGACTTTACAGACCATGTTACTCGTCAATTTTTTTTTTGTAGAATAACAAAAACTCTCAAATGGTTGGATTTAAATATAAGGCAAGAACGCTTAATGTCTTAATCACTAAAATAACCCTAAAAAATTGCAAATGTAATAACTAACATAGTTTTTTGCATCAGAGAGATGTACTCATATAACAGTCTAGGGTGCTGTTCTTACACAGAAGATTTGAATAATCTATATACTCGTGAATATTTTAAAAAATATTAAGTATAATGAATATATATACACATATTTACAAAAAATTCTTCGAACCTGGACGCCACACATGTATCGACAGCAAACCAATATTATATCTAGTTTGGGAGATATCATCTTCTGCATCTAGCCAGACCCCAACCGTTGAAGGTATATCAACTTTTGGACTGTCTTCTCCAGCATATCCAGCTCTGATTGTATTATGACCAATATCAAATACCAATGCACCAACTTCATCTAAAATGTAAGGTTATAAACATTTATACAAACAAAATATTTAAATGAAAATTACCGCCGCCATATACAGCGCCACTCATTTTTGTCCTTTTTTAAAACGTTTCTATTTACTACATTTTTTTGGATCTGTGAATTTAAAAAATAAACAAAAAAGCAAACTACTTTTTTTACACTTTTATATTTAGTTCCCGCGATTCCACTTAACAAACTCCCAAATTTCAGTTGTTTATTACGTACCGCGTTGCCAAATTTACACGTAGGTATAGCAAAAGAAACAACTGCATTAATATTCAAATAAAAAGTAATAAATATATCGTTGTTTTCTTTATTAATTAAATAAATATTTCTGCTTTGATTTACATTTAAATAAATTCATCAAATGTACTGAATTCAAGATTTTAATTCCTCACTTAAAACTTAAGTAATTATAATATTATTAGACATCACAAATGTAATGAATTATAAAACAACTATTTTAAATAACTTTGTAATAAAATACACTTTGTTACATTAACAGTGTTATTTATTTTTATTATTACATTTTTATAACATCTACTATTATCTTCTATGATAGATAATAATGTTTAAATGTTTAAAACTTTATCTCCATTCTATTTATAACACACTACATAAAGACCTTAATTGTTTTTTATAGCAATCATAAATTTGTTTCCACGGATGATCATAGAACAAAAAATCTGTAAAACTATCTAAATTTTAGTCAACCTGGCAATGCTTTAATATTGTCCTATTGTAGTTAGAAGGCCGCTAGTCAAAAAATTTCATAAAAATTTGGCACAAATGATTTATATTTTGACGTTAACAAAAATCTTAGCAACTGAATATTAAAATTTAATTTTAAGAATATTACGTATAAAGAGATTATATAGAAAGTGAACAAAATTAATTATACTACATATTCAACCGCGTATTTTAAAATTGTGCGTTCAGTGCCTAAGTAGATATGGGATATGGACCGCTACAAAGAAGTAAGTGTTGATAAAATCGTATTAACACTGTGTTAAACAAAAATTTTTTCAGAATAATTGTCGCATCTGTAAAAAAGTATTTTGTTGTAAAAAATGTCGTGAGCAACATGAAACTCGCATTCATAAAATATTTGTAGATTGCAACATTTGTCTTTATGGAAAAACATTTTTGCAAAGAGATCCACCAGAATGTTTGATAAACCATATAAAATACCAACACTGGCCCCTGCATTGTATTTTTTGTAAACAAATTTTTGAGTCCTTAGAAGAACTTTTGAAACAAAGTGTATGTCAAGTAGATTATAAAAATCAAAATTTTAAAAAAAGCCCTTATACACCTATCCAATCTCAAGATGAAAACAAATGTTATTTTCCTAAAGAGCAACAGATTTCTAGTAACCCTACCATGTTCTCTAATTTAGCTACAAGTACTCCCTTGCAACGAGAGGAACCTAATTTACCGGAGAAAAGTCAAGAAGCCATAACACCAGTAGAATTTTTAGACATTAACAGAGATAAAAATTATTATACTGACTGTGTTTCAATGAAAAGAAAAGTTACTTTTTGTGAAACACCTGTCGCAGAGAAGAAAGAAGATATATTAGAAATAGGTACGTCCTTTATTTTTATTTATTTATTTATTTCTTGAAAATTATAAAAGAATACAGGCTACGATCTATATGAAACAATATCATTTTAATTTGTAAATTGGTGTGCAATATGATAATGTGTACGTAAGCACTATAAAAAATTTATTGAATAATTTAAAATGTAACGAAGCTTAAAGATTTTGATATTTTAAACTATATGAATTTTTCTCATATTCTTATTCCACTTTGTGAAGTTCTAATAAAAAGACAATAACAATTATTTAACACATTTAATATCCATGTCTATGTCATAACTTGGGAGGTTGTTTCTTGGATTGTTGTTATCTCAAAAAACCTTAATCGATCAAGGATCTAAAATAACAGGTTTACAAAATACAGGATGTTGAAGTTTATTAAAATATCTCGAAGATAAAACTTGGACTAATAAATTTATGTAAGGCAAAAATTCAGTAAATTGATTAATAAACAACAACCAGTGGTGGAGAAAGGGGGGCACTGTCATTAAGAATTCCAGAATTTTTATGCCATTAAACATTTTGGTGATATGTGCTTAATTAATGGTTGAAAATAATTATTATTATTCGAAAGTTATCATTTTAAAATTTTTTACTATTCACCTCACAAAAAAAATGTCACGCATACCAATATAATACATAAAAATTTCTATGCCATTTCTTTCTGATCTTTTGATGGTTAACACCATATTTAGAATTACATTCTGAACAAAAAATTCAAAAATGGCTCATATTTAATTAAACGTAGAATATACTTTTTTCAAGTAATAACATTAGGAATTAAATGCACCTACCCAATTTTCAAAATACTCGATAACTTCAAAATTCCTGGGATTATTCAACAATTATTAATTGACCCAAAAGAACATGTAAACTCTTAAAGTTGTGGGATAGATTAAAAAAAATCATGTATATTTTAAATTTGTTATTATGGTGCATCAAATAAAAGATTCCACTAATTAATCACTAATTTCATTAATTTCACTAATTAATTAATTAATTTCCAAGTAGTTATTTACATTATTTATATATTTGTTTCTAATTTCAGAAAATATGTTTGAAGGCCAAATTATTGTTACTCCCAGTTCAGGTAACTTTTTAAAAAATTCATATTAATTTTTTGAGATGCATGTAATCTAATATTAACAAGATATATTATTAACTAATTCGCCTTTGTAAAGAAAATATTTAAAATACCTAAAAATTTGAATGAAAATGAACTGAATAGTTTACTGTATGTGATATCCACATAATATTCTACCCAGTTCATCTTTTTTGCTTTTCTATCTAGAAAAAAATGGTAATTAGAAAAATTTAAGAAACTACCGAGTGGATAGTACTTCTTTGGCAGTACCTTCTCTTTAGATTATATAAATTATTAGATTATTACTTGTTTACTTCATCTTTCCTGCATAGGAAGAATTACATGGAGGTCAAAACGGGACTTCTTGCAGACCATATAATTGTCATTAAAAATTTACAGATCTGTTCAGAAAATTTAATAGTAAATAAGTATAAATATACACTGGCCAACAGTTAATAAATCAAAATATGCAAACTGTCAGAGCAAATATACGACTTGTATATATCATCGTAAAACAGAGGATTCAAAACACAACAGAACAGACACAAACTTGGTTTATATCTCCGAAATGCAACATTCCTAATTGTGTTTTATATATTTCTTTGATTGTAACAAAACTTCCTGTAACATTACTTTACATTATTTTGTAGATAGAAAGGTAAAAAACAAGTTGAGTAAAATGTTATATGAATACTTGATCTCGAAAATATGATGCTCTACATAAACATTACTTACATCAATTTTTTTTTTAGCAGCCAACAACTCTGCTGTGTTTTATAGTGCCAAACAATATCCACAGGAAAATTTGACATGTCATGGTGACAAAAACGAAATAAGTATATACACGGACAGCAAGGACATTAAATTTGAGGAGAAAAGAGAGATTAACAATGCAGAAATTGGACATGAAGAAAGTGTTTTATGGATAAGTGCTGTAAATACATCACCAGATTTTATTGAAGGAAGCAAACCATTTATTGACACAAATAACTTTCCTACACCAAGCATTGCAAAGTTAAAAAAAAGGCAAGTAAATGTAGTTATGCCAACAGCAATTAGAAACCAAAATGTCGAATTGGAATTACCTTCTAATATGTCTTTAACTACTCTGAATACTTCTATATCTGAGGAAAGCACATCTGAAATGCAACAAGATAGTTTTAAACCACATCTGATTCTTAAAGAAACTTCTGTAAATAAAGTCGAGTATTCAAGTACTGACGATACAAATGGAATCTTAGCAGAAACATCCACAAATTCTGCCAGTCTTTGGACTTCAATGAGTAAGATTGTTAAAACTGTAGCAAATGTAGTACAAGAGTTTTCCAGTTCAACCTCTAATTCCAAAACTCCTTTAAAACGTATTATGGAAGATGATATATTTGATGGACCTCATGTTAAAAGGTACAAACTGACTGAAATAAAATGTCGTCCTCCAATAAGACATTTGGCTATAGAATATATGGGAGAATGTAAGGAAAATTTGAAATATGAGAGTAGCAGTTTTATAAATAGAATTAATAAAACATTTGTTGATAAAGCAACACAAACAGATGAATGGTTCCCACAAAATTGCTGACTAGTGACAAATTTATAGCTTTTCAAATTGCTTTTACTAAATTTGTACCATTGTTTAAACCAAGTAATGTAAAATATATTATAGATATAGCATGCGATATATGATATTAATCAGTTTAAAAGTTTATTTTTATATTTAAATTTGTTCGTCAATTGTAAATTGTTCTGTATTTATATGCACTTCTGTAATTCTTAAAATTTGTAATAGAACTTATTGGCAGTTATTAAGAAAATTTATTTAAAAAATAGTATAAAAAAAATAAAAATGTTCCAAGTACAGGTCCAAAATTGCTTCCTAAGGGCCCCTACTCAGGAGACACAATTAGGGACTTGCCCATCTTGTTAAAAATAAAAAAGTAAACACCTTTGTATTATACCTTCAAGGAGCTTGTAGCTTCTTGGCAAACTTATTTGGGCCTGTTTATTAAACAATTTTTAAATTTTTTAACACAATCTAATGATAAAGTTTGTCGTTCTAATTATGAGTATCACACTATTCTGTATATTCGACAATATTGAACTAGACAAAGCATTAAAATTCTGTTTCTTTAAAAATATTTTTTTTATTAGAATTTTCAAACTTTATCCTCAAGTAATTTCACTTTATGTATCAACTTATTTATAAAAATAAATTATGTATTTTTTACAGTAATAAATGTTCATGTTTCATATAATTGAAAATGATTTCTCTCAAACAGCAGACTGCCAACAGGCTGAGGGGTGAGCACCGCACTGTAGAAAAAAAACTTCGTTAAAATCTATATATCCATACAAAAATAACTAGTACAAAAAATGATGAGATATAATCCATATTAAATAGGGAAATGAGTATAGCACTTGTGGTATCATCATACTTTAGTAAAAATCACCCATATAAAAAAAATTATATAAAATTTGAAGTTCTAGATGTTTTGATATATTTGTATAATATACTCTCTTTGGAGATGCATATAAAGAAGATTGGGCGTACTGCAACTTAACAATGTTCGTAATATTTTACCTTAAGGGGTAAGCAGAATAAAATTCTTGGGAGATTTAATTAAAGTCCTAGTGTAGCCATCCTTTCCTTACCTTATGAAGTTTTACCTTTACTTTAAACTTTAACCATTAGAGCCATGTCAGGACTTCAATTCTTCGACTCTTGAGTGAATGGCTACTCTGAACCGAGGAGTAGGGAAATCTCAGTTTCAGAATGACTTATTTTAAACCCTAATACCATTTGTTTCAATAATTAATCTGTAAATATGTAAATTGTAATCAAGTTAGATATAGGCACAAACATAAAAGATCGAATCTTGCATCAACTTCAAATTTATTGAGGAATTGTACTATCTTGAGAACTCTTCAAATGTATTTTTGTCTTTAAGTTCTGCAATAATTTCGTAGCTTTTATTTCAACGTAAATTATAATTTCATCAAGATTTGTTATTTGCTGAAAATATATAAATACGTCAACCAGAATAATTCTTTACGAGGAATTTGGTAATTAAATATTTTTTGACATTACAATTTTTTTTATAATTTCATATTCAAAATAAAAGCTACAGTAGATAGAAAAAAATATATTGTTACTGCGCAAAATTTATACTAATGTAAGCAAAATATAGCTATATTCTTTTCTAAATTCAGAGTTCTTGGGAAAAAAAATATTATCAACATCCTTGTAGAAAAAAGATGGTGTTGACAAGTTTTTCAGTCTGAAACGTCAGCAAACGGTAACATTTGATACAATGGCGCATAAATATTAAGAAATACCGAATATTACATTAACAATCTCATCTCACATTTGATTAGAGGAACCAAAATGCTAAAAACGTGTTTTCTGTTTTCAACTAGCTTCTCAAATAAACCTGGAAGTAAAAAATGGAAATCTAAAAATTTAGGTTTTTTTGGACGCGGCGGTAGCCAAAGTGGCCAAGGCCTGACGACTGAAAATTCGAAGGAATTTTCCTGTCGTACCCATGGATGTTTGTGAGTTAGCAGGCAAAAATAGTCAAGTATGGCCTAATTGCTGGTAAGCTTCATGACCTTTACCTTTTTAGGTCCTTTTTTCAAAAAACCTCTCAAACTAACCAGTACTTATTAAAATTATCACATACCATATTATGCAACTTTATTCCAATTTAATCATCTTTCTCTCACAGTTTTTGATACAGCAACGTTTATCTCATCAAATTTGAAACACCCTATATGTAGTTTTATTTTCTTGGGGACAATTTAGATGTGGTCCATTAGGAACCAGAACACCCTACAATCTTTTTTCAGTTCAAATAAATTTTTTATATGTAATATAAAAATGTACTTGATGATCCAATTGTGCCGATTTTTTTAGAAACGATTTTTCAAAAAAACGTAGCCTTAGTCAGCATCACTTAAAACATTTTAAAGTTACTGTTTTTAACACTCCTAACATTAAATGCATTTTATCTCGGATTAATCTTTAAAATGAAGCAGTAAAATTTTTTTAAAACTGCAATTAAAAATATAATCAATTTTCTTGCCTATAAGGATCATTTGAGCACTTTAGAGCTTTAGAATTTTTGTGAATTTTTTTTTTATTTGTATAGTTTGTTATTAGTAATAAGTATAACAAATTTGGAAAAAAGTTTGACACCATTATTTTTATGAATTTTAATAATTTCTACACTGGTATAAAAAAACACATATCAGACACCTTAAAAAAATTTAAGTGCCCCAGTTTTTAACACATTGTACATAAAGCCCTTACTGAGGAGTTGATCAGGGCTTACTTTTTCATAGATTTACTTTTGCCTGGGCAGAAATCTCACTGAAAAAAATAAAAATATATGAATCTTAGCATCGATAGATTAAAGATAAATATCCTAACATTTTAAGGACAATTTTTTTTTATTTAGAAAAAGAGAATTTTTTTAAACGTAAAAGTTATGTTTCTATTATCCTACCAAACCAATGTTTTATATTCAGGTAAACTGCAAATCAACTGTGACATATCTCAAAAAATCATTAACAGCTTCATATAACAACATAAAAGTTCTATTTGCAATTATTGATGGAAGTGGATACTAAAAAATACTATGTTTCTTAACGTATCTTACTTTAGATTATCTGTATATTAACTATTTGCATACATCACTTTTGTAATAACATAATTTGGTTGAAATACAACCTCATATTAGATAACAAGAGTACATCAACATAAATTTAGTTAGTTGCTGATAAAAATTATTTTAAAACATCAACCAGATTACACCTTTATACATTACATGTTTTGAAAATAATCACAGATCAATATAAACCAACCCAATATAATTTACAAAAGAAACAGTCAATGAAGTAGTTCTACTGTTTATATTTAATGATAACTTATTTTGCAAATCACTATTTACAAAAAAAATGTACTGTATCGCTTTTAGATTTTTCTGTAATAAATATTAAAATAAGTATATTTAAATTATACTGATTGCATCTATCAGACCCATTAGCTAACAAAATTTTTATCGAAGGCAATTAGTCAAATCACCTGTTATAAAATTATTTTGAAGATTTTAAAATTAAAACTTTGATATTAAATACCGCCAAAGAAAGATAAAAAAGTCAAATAATTACACATTAAATAAACAACTTGTTTCTTCTAAATGCTATCAATAACTTCATACAAGCAATGTTAAATTTCAAATAATTAATATATGCAACAGTCCTTACTGGAAACATCGTCATGGCAATATAAATTTGGCAGTATACAAAAAATATGAACGTAATAGGATAAAACGCTGTATTTTAAGTAGTTTCCACTAATTTGATCTTAAAATCTGGTGAGCGATTAACATAATAGAGAGGAAAGGACATTAATTAATTAACGAAGGTAAAACAAGGAATATGGAAATTTTAGATGAAAATTTAACATTTTATATTTTACATAAAGATAAATACATGTGCATTAGCATTAATAATATAATTTAAATAATATTTATTACTAACACTTTAATTTTACATATATGTGGGAATTGAAATTGTTGCAGACAGGCTAACAGATGTTCGTAAACATTTGGAAATGAAAATGAAAAAATTTATGTATATGAAACTTGACATTGCTTCGCTGAAATTATCTAATGTTAAAATAACATATAATTTTGCTTGTCTCTCTTTCACAAATAACTTCAAAGGATGCAATAGAGAAAAAAATATTTGATTCCTTTCAAAAATTATAAAACTAATAAATAAACATAAAAATAAGTATAAAACAATATTTACAAGAGAACTATATACAGTACCTTACAAGCACGTTTTTTCCTCAATATTCTTTATTTACATAAACAAAATTGTAAACAGATAAAGAAAAAACGTGTTTTGGCATTATGTATATATACATTCAGGGTATTTCTAAAATATAATTTCAAGCTGAAACAATACACAGAAAATCGTAAACGTGCCCTGCAAAAAATATTTTTAAATAACCTGAGGTAAAAATGGCACAGGTTACAATAATCTCACGAGTAGTTTTTTTTTATTATCGATGAATACCTTTTTTGAAAAAATTGACAATGTATAAGCCCAAATTCAAAAATACCATGGATTGTTGTCTTTGGGAGAGAATGATTAGTTTCTTTCTCGTTATATTTACTTTATTAACCAAATTTGAAAGCAATTTACAGTATTTTAGCATTATTAAAATGTGTATATGTATTTATTAACAATTTTTTCAAAAACTATGCAAATTACTATCGACCAAGAGTATTTGAGACATTTAAGATACTATTTCAAAAGTATATATTTCTCCAAAAATGTCAAATTATTTTTTTAAATAAAGATCCTCCCGATTGTTTGCTGCATCTCTGCTTTGGCGTTACAGAAGAAACTATCCCCTTCGAGATTATTGCATCAGTTTGTATAAAGCTTCTATGTTGAATTTCATTTCGATTTTATGTCATTTTGGAGCCATTTAAAAAGATATGTTTTGACAGCGCACTTTTATCACTCTGTATCTTTTGTACTTTCGAGCCTATAGCCATCTGGTTTAGACCACTGGGTTGATGCACTAACTATACAATAGCGGTACAACATTTGCTGGTGATGCTATATCTAGTGAGCCCTTGATAGAACTGTATGTTTTACCAGAAAAGTACTAAAAACGAATTCCCCTCAGTAAATACAGTCTACCCCTTAGAAATATGGCATGAAACCGTATGCCAAAAACAAGCAGAAATGGTACCACACCACAGAGAGAGGAACAGTTGAAATGTATGGTCGACATACTAAATTGGCATACTGAATCAGTGCTGTACATGCACTGTATGGGTCCATCACAAAGTGGCTTAAATTTTCTTTTCCTGTTTCAGTTTGGCATCATATTTTAGAAACATCCTATATATAGGGTGTTTCAAAGTCGGCATTATTGCTAACTTCATTATTGGAGATTAGATATCGGGTAAATTATCAAATTATTTGTTCCTAAACTAAATGGAAAAACAACTGAAAATCATATTTACGAGATTTTTAAATGGAACGCCCTATATATTATGTTATACTTTAATGTTTTTTTTAAGATTACACTGGTATAAGGTATGATTGGTCTATCTCCAATAAGAAAGATAAGGTCATTAAGCATGTAATGTGTTAGAGACGAGAGAGATCGGTTGGTGGTTCGGCTACTGACTACCTTTCTAATACATTACTCTTATGGCATGTTCTAATAGCCATATCTCCCTTATCATGAGATCCATCAAATATATCGCTGCAATCCTGAAAAAACATTCAGTTCCAATATGACAATATACATGGTGCTCCACTAAAAAGCACATGCAATCACAAATGTGATTTATTTTTTTGTTTAGCATGTACTAATAAAGAAATTAGCAAAAGAATCAACTTAATTTGAAGCACCATATATATACATAAATACATATATTATGGTAAGATATTTATTCAATGAACCTCTTAAAATTAAATTGCTGAAAATCATTAAGTACACTGGGTTGTACTTTAATTTTTTAATATACTTTTTAAGTATGTATTTACAAGTAACAACAACACAGCGACATCTAAGAACAATATACGCACAGGTACATCTATACTGAATATATCATTTTGTACAGGTGACCACCTCTTACAAAAGTTGTTTAACACCCGTTGACACTCACTCATCATTGATCATCCAATAAATAATTAAAACTAGAAATGGTCTTTTCACAGAAAATCACAGATGTACATTATTACCGATAATATACCCTGGCAAATTTTCCTAAAATAATATGAAAATATATGTAATATAAATGAAGAATCCAAAGTTATTAGACCCATCGAAATAACTCATTTGGAGGGAAAAAAAAAGAAAATTGTTACCTGGACTTTTATAAGTGGAAATGGTAAAGGGGCCTATAATAAACGAAAAAAAAATTAATACGTGAGCATGGGTGGCGGAGGGTTAATTTGAGGGGTTGTAAAGTTGTGAAACATTGTATCATTGGGATTTCTGGCAAAAGTTGACGTCAAACAAAAAAGTATCCAATACCATAGTTGTATTTCATGCAAAAATCTACAAATTTTGTTTTTTATTTATAATTTCCGCAAAAATAATTTAATTTTGACGAAACTTGGTGAAAGTATACCTTTCTGTGTCTTAAATAACCGCAAATTTTTTTTAGATAAAAAATCAAGAAGTTTCCGTTAAATTAATTTTTTTCGGTCTGAAACACTTTTTTTCAAAGAAAAATTCTACTGAGGAAAGTAATCGTACAGAGTTCTGCCGGTAATTATTTTTTCATTTTGACATATACATTTTGTTGAAATAAAAAAATCTGTAATCACACTTCAAAAACGTGCTCAAAAATGCAAAAAAATAAAAAATGACTTGTAACATTGAATTATTCAGTAATTGTTGGTAATTTGTTTAAATTTAAAAAAAAGTCAAAAACTAATTACACCATTCAATTCTAAACAAAAAAAATACAAAAAAAACTGTCTCATTGGTTGACCCAAAACTTTATTTTTGTAGTATTGCTATAAACATGTCAAATAGTGAATAAATAAAATAAATAATAATTTTTTGCGTAGGATTGATGTGTACTTATTTTTTTTAATTTTGATATACAGTGTGTTCAAAATAAGGATGGGATAGCATTAGGATCTAGGAAACGGTAAGAGATACAGGGTAGTTCAGATTAGAAAAAGTTGTTTTTTTATATCTAACAATATGCCGTTTAGAAAGCTTTAATGCCACTTTTTTCGCTCTATACAATGGCGTTAAGATTTTCGCAATCCGACGTTTCATCTTTGAGAGGCCATCAGATTAATTTTTTTAAATATGTCACTGCTATTTTTATGATCAAATCTAGTCATTTGTAATTCTGAATTAGATGATATTACTATTGTAATAAAAAAGTTTTTAGCTATCATTTAAAATTTTTCCTATAAAAATAGTGATGTATTTAAAAAAAATTAACCTGATGATGGCCCCTTGAAGACGAAACGTCGGATTGCAAAAATATTGACGCCATTGGATAAAGCGAAAAAAGTGGCAATGAAAATATGCAATTAATTTTAAAATTCGTTTTCAAATAAAGCCAGAAAAGAAATAAAACAATTCTGCAAAATTTCGGGTTTTGCGTCAGCAGTAGACTTGTAGTTAATTAGTATTGCTGAAATCTCACATCATCCGGAGATAATTTATCATTTGTGCATTTGTAATTCGACTTGTATGTTTATAGCAATACTGTACAAAAATAAAGTTTTGGGTCAAACAATGACACTTTTTTTGTATTTTTTTTCATAGAATTGAATGGTGTTTTCAGTTTTTAATTTTTTTTATTTAAACAAATTATTTATCAACAATTACTAAAAAATTCTTTGTTGCGTCATTTTTTATTTTTTTGCATTTTTGAGAACATTTTTGAACTGTGATTACATTTTTTTTTATTTCATCAAAAAGCATATGTCAAAATGAAAAAAATGATCACCGGCAGAACTCTGTACGATGATTTTCCTAAGTAGAATTCTTCTTTGAAACAAGTGTTTCAGACTGAAAAAAATGAATATTTCTTAAACTTCTTGATTTTTTTGTCTAAAAAAATTTGAGGTTATTTAACACAGAAAGGTATTCTTTCACAAAGTTTCGTCGAAATTAAGTAATTTTTGCGGAAATGAGAAATAAAAAACGAAAAATCAGAAAAAAACCTGTTTTTCAGATTTTTCTCGGAAATTTTGTTATTTTAAAAAGTGACCTCTACAAAATTTGTAGATTTTTGAATGAAATATATGGTATTGGATACTTTTTTGTTTGACGTCAACTTTTGCCAGAAATCCCAATGATACAATGTTTCACAACTTTACAACCCCTCAAATTAACCCTCCGCCACCCATGCTCACGCATTTATTTTTTTTTTTAGGTTTATTATAAACCCTTTTACCATTTCCACTTATAAAAATCCAGGTAACAATTTTTTTTTTCTCCAAGTGTAATTTGGTTGGACTATATTGTCCTAATCGAATCAATTGGGAAAGGTGCAAACAATTACACAGTTTGCATTATTCAGAAGTATGAATCTGTAAAGGATCATTAGTTCTTAATCTAGCAGAGTCAATCTTTCAGGTGCAGCTGTAAGTTACTACTACATTCACTTCCACATCCACAACTAATGCAATATTCAATATTTTTCCTCACAACCTCCAAATATTATTTTCAACTTCTATTGCATTGAAATATTAAAAAAAAAACAATTTAAAATGACAGTGTCCCACAGAAAATTTTTGTAACTAAAAACTGATAACACATAAAAACAATTTTAAAAAAATCATATTTCTTAAAATTATAGCATTACTAAAAAAATATATCAAGTTTTGAAATGTGATAAGCTAAAAAAAAACATATCTCCTATAATAGGACGAAAAATAAATAAATGTTTTTCAAGGATCTGCCATATGGCATTCTATTTGACAATATTCAGCAATTTTAAGGCTAGTGGATATAAAGAAATGATAATTCATTTTAGGAAATTTGTGGATAAGCTACTGTCTAAAGTTATTTATTTGTAACAAAGTTTTAGTTTTTTTCTGTTTATTTGAATATTTTGCGACCTGGGAAAAGTATCGGACAAATAAAAAATATGCATCACAATAACACACTTCACGTCATTAACATTTTAGAAAAAAAACTAACAATAATAATACATATTTTTTAATTGTGCTCTTTTTTCCCATACGAGATTTTTCTAGGACTATTTCATGGGGGCCAAACTACTGAAACGAAAGAATTTGTGGATGATCACACAAAATGGCAATATAACTACCTACACCTGAATGCTTCTTAATCTATCATTTAATCTCCAACATTAAATAAAATTAGTAAAAAAAAAAACGGAAGTGAAAGACAGTGACCATCGATTGGATTAATATGTACATGCAATTAAAGTTTTCATGTATTTTCATAATATGCCAGAAAAAAATTTGTAAGGGTAAAAAGCTTTATATACAATAATATAAGCAGAGTTAAAAAAAAATCTTAAAACTATAGAAACCTGGGCATGGGTGGATTATACTGAGACTGAGAATCAGATCTTAAGTGGGGATAAGTTGAAGGTTGATACCGCCGATAAGACAGAGGATGTTGCAAGGAAGGTATTAGTTGAGTTCCACCTAACGAGCTGTGAATGCGAGGATTACCATCTCCCAAGTCCAGCTCCATTTCTTGTTGCTCTTGTAACTGTATCTGTCCTATGGTAGCAGTAGCCATGGCCACGTCGGGCATAATATCTGAAAGATGGCCGTCACTGCACGAACTACTTTCTGGTTCTGTGGAGAAACGAAAATCTCCGTCTGGTACTATTGCAGGTAATTCTTGTCGCTGTGAATATCCAGCCCTTTGGGAACTAACATTTTTACTGTAACAGCTGTGCGATGAACCGACGACAACTTTATTAGGCGATATTTGAAGAGAATCGGTGTCACACTGATCGGGAATGCAAAAGCAGTTCTCTAACATATCAGCTACTGGATCTGGCAAATTAAATTCTCGGACTACACGCAGTCTAATCTGGCGGTTGATTTCATGTCTTGAAGATAAAGGCATGTTAAGAGCACGTTGACAGCTTGGAGATTGGCGTAGCTTTTGCTCCCTTTTCAGCATTGCCGTCATAACAGCCGGATCTGGCACAGGTAGTACCGATGCTAGAACATCAACGCCAGCAGCCCCATGAGGTCGAGGTTTTTCTTCTACCTGTAAAAAAAAACTTTTAATACCTTGACCAATCGATGACACTAAATTTACCATATACAGGGTATCAGGAATGTCTTGCATATAGCGGGCCCTACGCATCCTCATAATTTCTACTTCTTGAACAAGTTGGTCCTCTACCAAAACTTTTACTTCATCATAATATGGCATGAACAGTCTTGGTTGTATAAATAATCCGTTATTTTTACCACCACGTATCCAGGCATTTACGCGGAGATTTTCCCTGTCTCCTCCAATCATATGACTTGGAGGAGTACTTACTAATCCTCGACGAATTGCGTGATTCAAAATTTCACTATTTGGAGGCAACACATGATCCATTCTAACGAGAGGTAATAAGTCGGACAATATCTCTCTAAGTTCTACATCACTTAAATCTCTTTTCTTAATTCCTTTTCTTGCAACCGAATGCGCTGTGTGACTAACAATATTAGGTTCTACAATCATAAGACAATGCATAAACGGACATTTTTACTTTCAGTGTAATACCTACCCCTATCTTCCATTCTTCGTACTAATTCATTTTCACCCCATTTAAGTACAGCATGTAAAACTTCTAGCTCACTCGCTTGCAAAAAAGGACTTCTAAGAACCTCGATAAGATGAACTTTGTCCAACTGATGCAAAACTGATGACTGTGAGACAGGTTGAAACTCTTCTCGAAGGAAATGTAAGGCCTACAATATTATGTCATATGTGATGTTCGAGCTAATAGAATAACACAACAGAAATAGAGTTTGTATCGTGGACCGAGGTTCATTCATATGTGCCACTATGTCTAAGAAAATTTTAAAATGTCTCGTCTATTAATAAAACAGTTTCCTGATTTATGTGGGTATGTTGCACTTTCACTGATAAATGCACATATACAGGGTGTCCCGTTCATGTTTCAAAAAAACTTGTGTGCAATTTCCTCATGGAAAAATAATAGGAGTAGTTCATGTAAAGTTTTTTTTCTTAGACGCCCCGTTTTCGAGATACAGTGTGTTGCAGTTGTTACATTCCAAATGGTTTTCCGTAATTATCTTTAAATCGGCTAAAGATAAAAATGTCAAAATTTGTACACGAGTAAACATCAACTGTGCGTTAAGAATAATGTGCAAACGGTTTCTTTCTGAAAAGCAGTGTCGCCGATACAGGTAATTAGAGGGGTACAATCGAAAAAAAAAAATGTAAAATGACAAAATTTATTACATTTGAAAACGGTTCTGTAAACTCTAAAGCATACTACAAAAAAAAGGTATACTTTTCGAAATTCGGTAGCATGTACCATTTTCGAGAAAAATGAAGTTGCATCAAAGGAAATGCGGGACAATTTCAGTATCTACTGTAGCATTTCGAGTATGCACATTTAATTGTGCAGCTGTTTTGTTCTGTATGTCTGCGAGTCTGTTTCCTAATATTTTTCTGTTTTTTCACTTTTTTTTAGCATTCATGTCCATCAATTCAGTCCATTCAACAATTGTTTATTTTAGTAATGGTAGTGTAGTAGTTTAGAAAATCTAAAATTAGTTATTAATAGATAATTAATTACCATAATCTGTTTATTTTGATTAGGGTTGGGACATTTTTTAAATAATAAATAAACTTATTACAATATTCGAATTATCCAAATATTCAAATTATTAGAATTATTCGAATATACAAATTATTTGAATTATTCGAATATTTACATTATTTGAATAATACAAATAATGCTCGAAATTAGGTGATATGTAGTCAAACATTCGAATTATTCGAGGGTGATCCCAAATTATGTGCAAAAAATTTCAGGGTTGATTAGTTAAACGATTTTAAAAGGACTCCTTGATATAAAATTTTTTTATTTAAGCGCCCCTGTTTTAATTACGTTACGACTCCTTTTGAAATTAAGAACTGAAATTTGACACGATATTTTGACTGTTGAGGCTTCTTCTAAACGAATATTTTTTATTGTCCTCGTCTTATTGTAAGACGTTGAAATGAGAAGCTACTAGATATTGGATGTGCTAAATCAGATATTTGAAAAAAGACTATGTGCGCGTATGGGGTCCTGAACTTAATTTTTTTACTCAAAACCTGTACCACTTATCAAAAAAACTGATAACAGGCAACAAACATTAACAAAACCCAATAAAAAATGTGGAAGTGAAATTATTCGAATTATTCGAATATGATTCCCAGCACTAATTTTGATTTACTTTTTTAAATGTTAGTTTACAACGTAATTAATAAATAATTTTAATTTTTTTTTTTAGTTAATAAAATATTTTACAATTTAACTGTTTCATGTGATACATAAGAAATTGAAATTTGTCTTAAATGCTACTGTTGGTAGCTAAATGTCTTCAGCTCATTCAATGGTAAAGTCCTTTCAAATTAATATTCTCTTAATGTACTTGTGCCGCTTTATGTGAGCAAAAAAAATGCTATTTCATTTTTCTCGAAAATGGTACATGCTACCGAATTTCGACAAGTATACCTTTTTTTTTGCAGTATGCTTTAAAGTTTACCGAATCGTTTAGAAATGTAATAAATTTTGACTTTTAACATATTTTTTTTCGATTGTACCCCTTCAATTACCTGTATCGGCGACACTGCTCTTCAGAAAGAAACCGTTTGCACATTATTCTTAACGCACAGTTGATGTTTACTTGTGTAGAAATTTTGACAATTTTATTTTTAGCCTATTTAAAGATAATTAAGTAAAACCATTTGGAAAGTGACAACTTCAACACACTGTACCTCGAAAACAGGGCGTCTAAGAAAAAAACGTTACATGAACTATCCCTATTATTTTCCCATGAGGAACTTGCACACAAGTTTTTTTAAAACATGAACGGGACAACCTGTATAAGGCAAACCACTGCACCAACCATTTTAATGATACAGATACACTAAGGATTATCTTTCACTTGCAACAAAATGATATAGTAATATGATTATTTTAATATATTTAACACAACTAACTTGTGTTTAGATTTCATAGTGACGCCACCGACTTTGCAAGCAAATGCCAAATTCTAATAACAAGTTACCTGTCGGTGGACCCAAGCAGACCCATGTGGCTGTCTCGCCCATTGTAACACTACTGGCAATGTATCCAGTGACAGCCACTCCAGTATGAGGTCTTCACAACCTTGAGACAAAATATCCAATTCCAAGAAGCGACCTATTTGGTACAGTTCCATGGCTTCTTCAAGAGGAGATGGCCTAGCTCGGCCTGTGTGAGCCAAAGCTTGAGCTTCACCTAAGCCACCACCACAACCACCACGAGAAATTAGGGACAGATCTACTTGGTCTAAATATATAGCATGAAGAAGGACTCTAGCATACCTTAAAAAAAATTATTATTAAAAAATAAAGGATATTTTAAATATTACCTCTTGGGTATAACAGTTTCATCCAGAACAATCCTAGTAGGGATATGTAGAGCCCTTTCGGTATGGTCTTCTCCACTTTTAGACCTCCTCTGTAATAAGTTTCTAAAAAAAGGGGACCTTGCCGAAAGTATTGCTTTGTGACAGGGTAATTCTAATTTAGGTCTAAATCCGTACTCGGAGCTTCCAGAATCGGGGCGTTGGCAATCTGAACCATCTGATGTAAACACTAATGCCGCATCGGCATAGTCACCAGTCTCAAGTAAATATCTTAAATCGGCTTCCAGGGCATTGGGGGTGCCAAATTCCTCCCTCAGTCTTCGTAACAAATTCATATCAATATTGGTATTATGTGGGCAAATATCACCAGTATATAAATATCTTAACAAGGCAGAGAACAATTGAACATCGACAGTAGCCGTTCTTAACTCCAAACAGATACGAGCGCCATATCCGGGACATCCTGCTAACAGATCACGAAAGTAAGGACACCTAGCAGAAAGAAGTGCTCTATGAATGGGAAAACAGGCACCTCGATAAACTAAATCCGCATCTGTACAGTATTTAAAATCATATAATGCAGAGAGATCTTGTTTGAAAGTTGCAGCAGGTGGTCTTGCCAATTCTGCCTGAACACATAAGTCTTTCAAAGCCGCTAAGGCTTCATATTCTTCTAATAAAGCAGCTACTTCCAGAGGACTCCAATCAGCCACCAGTTCGCGGAGCATTCGCCCATGATCACAAGCTTTCGAAGAACGTCTTCTTCTGATGAATTTCTTCTTTAAAGTGGCAAAACCAGTAACTTTCTTCTTTCTTTCTCTATAAAATAATCAGTTTTAGTTTCAATACATAATAATTGTACAGTGCATTACATTTTCAATATCATGCAAGTGTATCTCAATTAGTAAAGACAGAAAGTGGTTGTTAAAACAGGTTTATTTGTTTTTGAATTATAACTAAAAATGTAAATTTTGATATTTCAAAGAACCATTGTAGCAGCTGCAACTGGATTTTTCCTGAAAAGTAGATACTTTATCTTACAGATTTTTTTGCATCCCAAAATATTTAGTTCGTCACATTTATATCAACAAATAATAAAATTATCCCGTTTCTTTTCCAAAATTTAAAAAAGGAGATAGTTGGCCTTGACTAAATATATATGTTACTTTCATGGCCTCAATCTTTGAGTACATGGCCAACACAGATTATTTTTTTCCAAATGAAATGCTTATTTTAATATCCAAATTTTTTCCTTTCAGAGGAAACAGAGGTAAAACTTTTCTCTTTTGAGGTCAACGATTGAACATTTCATCTCGTAAAGATATAACACAGAAGAGAATTTACAGGTATTATGTATATTATTTCTTTATATATGAAGTGTATATTTTGTATAGTTTTTTTTTAATGTAAGATTTTTTCTTGAGAAAACTTTAGTCTTTTTTAAACATCTGTAAAAATTTAATAATTCGTTGTATAAGTATAATGTTCTTGTTTTACTTTCAATTAAATAAATAGGTGATATTTATGTTCTATGTCAAAGAAAAATAACACTCAATTTTTAAATAAGTTTCTATTACATCACCATCTAAATGAATTTGTTTTTCTCCACACCCCGCTATATACAATAATGACAACAAATTATTATATTTAGTAGTATATTCTTTTAGGCCTTATTTTTTTATTTTTGGAGATAATTTGACAAAGTACATATTTTTGGAAAGGCCCTCTTTGGAAAAAATGCCCTCTTCGTAACTAGGCTATGACCAACCATTTAAAAAATAAAATTGCACTTACAAGTTGAAAACTGATAAATTATACTAATAAAAAATTAACTATGGTGCTGCATTCTACGTAAAAATAGTCTGTAAGATAAAATATCAACATTTTAGAAAAAAATCTCATTATAGCTGTTACCGTTACAAGGTCACGAAAAACATTCAATAATCCGCAATATATTGTTCCAAACCAATTTGGATTAGTGAATATTTCGGACTATTGATGATAATAGTTGACAGTTTAAAAAAATATAGTTATATATAAATACGCTTATATACATTACTGACCACCCAATTTCATAAAAGTAGCAATTATTATCTAACATTTTTATAATATCTATCTATTTTTTATCTAATATTAAAATAGTATTTTATGTTTATTCAATGTGCTCAACATGTTGACTATAAACTACAAATAAGAACTAAACTATGGACTCAGTAAAATAAAGAGACTCCAATCATTTCTACATCAATTTAGACACACTAATATCTAAAGATTTAAATTCTGTAATCCACAATAAACTCTAAAATTCAGAGCATTTTTTAAAATATTTATGTTAATAGAATGTAATCAAAATTATTCCCAGATTAGCATATGTCCAAATGATCAAGGTTCTACTGTAACTTTATTATTATTGGAAAATTGTTATATGTACATATGTACATATATGATAAACAGAAACCAAAGTTTAATTAAACGTAGTGACATTTTAAATGCATTGTCTCCTCAGAAAAAAGGCATTGATACCAAGCGATCAGCTATTGTGAATAATTGATGACAATTACGCAATAATAAATATATGTACAGGATGTTTCTGAAAGATGATGCCAAATTGAAACAGGAGATAGGAAACGTCATTTTATTTTCTTATTATTTCAGAGTAGCTGGTCATCCAAGTGAAATTTGGCACAAATCTTTAAATTTTCAATTGCAATATCTCATTAAGGAGTAGCTTTTCCTATGTAAGTAGTGGAGATACAGAATAATATTATTATAATAAAATAAAAAACAATAAACGTTTTTATCTGTGATCTTTCACGATAAAAATTCAAAATGTCAAAAGTGTCACGGATTACATACAAATTTTGTGGAAACGTTGTACCGATTAAAATTTAAAAAAATAGGAAAATTGAAGATAAAAATAAAAATATACTCGTATCTGGAAGATAACACATTCTAGTACCAATATTCTTGTCAGTTTTTTTCTTATTGTGATAGGTATAATCTATCAATAAAGTTGAAAAGCTATCCATGGCACTTTTGATTTTTGGAATCTGCACATCTATGCTGAGTTTCATTTGGATTTGACCAGCCACTTTTAAGGTATTCTAAAATTGTGTTTTTAAAAGTTCACTTTTATCACCCTGCAACTCTTTCATATTTTTGGGCCCTTAAAATATTCTTGTTACAGTTTGGAACAATATTTTAGAAACACCCTTGTATATGTACACATACATACAGGATGTCCTAAAGTAAAAGGTTTGTAAAGATGAGTTGTCGAGTTGAAATACTAAGGATAAGGAAAGAGTTTCTATAAACACACCTTCCATAAGAATTCATACAAACTTACAACCCTTTGAAACAGCTAATACAATCTTTTTTTTAGTAAGTAAAATACATATTTAAAAAACTAAGAAACTTAATTGGTGGACACATTAGTTTTTCAAGGGAAAACTTATGGTGCTAATGATGGTAATTTTTTCTGTCAGATTTTCATTATTTTTCAATTTTTTTAATAGGATTCTACCAATATTTTTACACAAAGAGGTCTTCGTTTCATTTGGTCATATTTTTCTGAAAATTGCCTTTGAACTTGCGAACGCAATAAAAAACATGCTAGATTATGGTTAAACGCGTGTTCAATATCGCCTCCACTTCTTGTGGAAGCTATATTATATTCAATTACTTCAAAAACTTTACAATACCTCAAAAACCTATTGTATATTTCTAAATTAATTACATGAATTTTGTGTACAAACATTATTTTGTGATAAAACATTTTTTGTCAGACTGCCACTATAAAATGTGGCTTCAATGAAAGAGGTCATCCTCCATATTGATCCGGATTTGGCACCCAACAATTATTTTCTATTTAGAGATTTGAAGAAAGCTCTTCGTGAAAGACAGTTTCTCGGTAATGAAATTTTGAAATGAGTAACTGTAAATCATTTCACAAGTAAATCTTTCGTCTATTATTATGACTTGAAAAACTTATAGAAAAATGGATAAATATTTCAGAGCTAAGAGAGATTATATTGAAAAACAATAAAATCTTACTTCATTCCACATCATTCCTACCCAAGGCATGAACTTATGAACGGATCCCTAAAGAATAAACAATACCCGATGTTTTTCAATGAGTGTCAATTGGCTGTTTCCAAAGTTAAAACTTATTTAGAATATATGTGGAAATGGGTTTTAAAGTATGTTTTTTATACTTTCACTAAGAGCTGTAGGTGAATAGTTTTAGAGACAAAATTCACTGTGTACTTGAATTGTCGTAGATTTGTTACATTGTTATTTAATACAGAAGATTGTAATCCATTATAAACAATAATTTAGAATATGCTATTATAAATTGTGGTTAACCAAAATTTCAAGCGTTGTCAGTCATATCTTATAAATTTTTATGCTCATACTCATATGTGTCAACATACAATGACAATATTCTACAAAAATCCAATTGTTCTTTGCAACATTCATATGAAAGCAACACTAATTAAAATGCATATTCTTCAGTAGTGTTTATAAGTTCTATTTTAAATTTTATTTTTTTTCGCATAATAAAACCAAAGTATGGTCCTGATTTGGACAGATTTGAACTAATATAGTTGTCAGTTTTGTCATCTTTGCTTGGTGAAGTAAATTTTTGTCTTCTATGGTAATAACTTTAATCCGTAAGCAAATACAAAATAAAACCAGTCTTGAAAGAAAAATTACCTATATTTTGTTCTATAATCCTAAAATGAGGTTGAAATCGCAGACTTATGTTAATTAGAATGGCTAATGTACCGTTCATTAATAGATTCAACAACAATTGGAGTAACAATTATAAACACACTGGTGAAAAATAGAATAAAAATTTAAACAAAATTTATACAGTCCGACACAAATAAGTTTGCGTTTCTGACTCGGACGGAACTAGATGGAATAAGACATAGGCGTGACAATTTGAGATAGCGACTACCGTGGTCCAAGCTTGTCATTCCAGTGCGCATTCGTGAACGGAACTATCTCAAATGCAAACTTATTTGCATTGGTCTGAATTTTATTAGTTAATCACAAACCTGACAACTCCTATTGTATCTCTATAACCAGTAACTGAGGAATCATTGCCTAAGTTAGCAGGTACCATTGTGGGATCATTCCCAGGAGATGTAGATGCATTCACTCCCATTCTGTGTGTTAGTCTTTCAGACATACACTGCTGGTTTTCACCACTCCGCCAACTGTGCTGTAGTGCACATGGAAATAGACAGCTAAATAAGTTCATAGCTTACCCAGACTAAAGCCTGACATGCAGACACAGCCTATAAACAATACCAATTATTAGGATTAAAGAATGAAAAGTGAATAGAAAACTATTCATTTTATTTCAAAAGTACGTTTAATCACTGAATATTTAAAAAAACTTGTGTTCATTAATAAACTGATTTCTTTGACTGCTATCTTTCATAAACAGAATACCTAAATAATACACTGATTATTAAACAAAACAAAAAGGTTCAACTTCAACATATTTGAAAAATTATTCAGTCAATCAACTTTCTGATTTACATATATCATCCAGAAAAATATGTTTCTTTATAGTTTTTCCTAATTAATAGTTGTAATTGAATTCTCAAGGATCTCTTTCTCATTTTATCTTCAATTAAATCTCGTATAATAAAAACCTATACAGATAATAGAAAGTAGTGACATTAACATTTAGTGATGTAAACAACCATAATTATACACATATATTTGTAAAGTTATAAAAATAAGTTTACCTGGGCGTCGAATTATCATAGTGACTTGTAAAATGATAACTTGTTTGGGTACATCAACATCCATTTATAGCTTACTAACTAGATTCTAGGATTATTGCAGTAGCAGCAGCCATGTTTATATCGTCACATCACATAGAAAACTTGAGGAAAACAATTAAATGCTTCTTAAAAACAGTAACAATAAAATCTTCTTATGTTTTCAAGCTTTGACAAGTAACTACATTTTCAAATATAAATATTTTAAAGAACACTTTCAAATCTAACATATTCTACTTAATAAATATTGTGCAAAAAACATAGCGAACACTCAGCTCAACACATCAAACTTTTCAGGTATTTCGTTTCTCGTTTCTGTCAATGCTGATTGTTCTATTACTCAAGTTCAGTGGTAGCAAAACTTCGTGGTTAAGGAGTGGTGTATACACATTAGGCCGCGTTTAAGCTACGCTTCTAACTGACCGTCGCCGTCGTGGTCGTAGTGGTAGGTTAACGCTTTTGTAGAAATCTTTTAGCCTGATTTTATTACTTTTTATTTATATTTTTTGTAGTCCAGGTTTTTAGGTTAAGTTTAGTGATGTATTAAACATTAATAAAATGTGCAAACAAATTTGAATATTCTATTTTGTCAAAATTCACACACTTGATAAGAATTAAGTTACCCACATAAAAAAATTTTACCTCCACACAACAGAGATACGCCATTATTCCATGGCTAGAAATTGGCCTCAATGATTTGGGATCGAGGGGGATTATCCCTCTTTATCCTGCCTCATCTCGTGTAGGCCTGGACAGCCTTCGTAGGTGGGCCCCATCCGTCGTCTACCCCGACCGCAAATGCGGCCGGTGTAGGCGCTTTGTGGGACCTCCTTTTGTCCTGGCTGGGCCCCGCCGGCTAGGGCCCTTTCTTCTGGCGCTCTTCTTGCTTCGCCGGCTCGTCTGTGTAAACCCCGGGGGTAGTGTCATGTTTATGTGAGGTATGGTTGGGTAGGGTAGTGCGGCTATGCGCTTTGCTAAGTTGGCCCTTAGCCCAGCGCGGGTGGGGAGGGGAAAGAAGGGTATGGGGGGTGTGTATGTGTGTGTGTGTCGTTGTCTTCGTTTCTTGATCCTGGCTGTCTCTGAAACAGAAAAGGTTAGCGGGCAGGGGGGGAGATAACACACCAATCATTCAACGAGTAAAACCTTTCAACTTTCAGGTCTAATGATAGGTTAAGTGAACACATTCCTGCCACTGAAAACTGAAGGAATTGAAGCGTTGCTTAACGCAGCCATTGGATTGGTATTCTGCGATTGTGATGTGCTGTGCTCTGTACTTCAGAACTTGACATTTGATTACAAATCTAGTAATCTAGAAAAAATCTTCGACTTAATTTTGACTTTTGAGAGGTGGTTGGCCTGTAGTTCCATTGATTTCTCTTGTCGTTGTCGACGTAAGAAAGAAGGTATTGTTTGCTGTGTCTTACTAATTTTAACAAACGTAATTCACTCGAAAATATGAACTTCTCAACGAAGTTATGTAGGATTCATTTAATTAGGTATGTACCTTTGTCACTATGACCGGCATTAATTACGTAATTTATTTTTTTTTATATTTAGCGGTGCACGCTTAATGTCCCAATTAGGTGATTTGGGCAGTGGTGCAGGTAAAGGTGGTGGTGGTGGCGGTTCTATAAGAGAGGCTGGTGGAGCTTTCGGAAAACAAGAGGCAGCCAGAGAAGAAGAGTATTTCTACAAAAAGGTTAGAACAGAAAAAATATTAGTAAACTGCATTAGTTGCTGGTGGATTTCTTGATACGTCCAGTTCCGAATAAAACTCGGTTAACTAATCAGACTTCTAATCTAAACTAGGTCACCAATAACTCGTCTAAATTAGATTTTGCTGGAATTAAGTTTAAAGATGAATCTATAAAAAGATCTTGGTTTTAGCCATAACTTTACCCCAATTCTAAGAATATTTGTCTTAATATTATAATTTTTACCTTGTTTATAAAAATTTGGTCAACTCTATCTTAAGAATTTACTCATCTAATGACGGAGTTTAGTGAATGTATACTTGTGGACTTTCTAAGAAATTGAAAGATATGAACTTTCAAGATGAGATATAAAGACTTCTTTAGTACTAAGATAATAGGATTTTTGTAAAGCAACATACTGAAATCTGAATTTTTAACTTCTTATGGCAGAGATAAGGGCTAAGTTAACATAAAGTTAGGGTGAAACTTTTTTAATAAACTTATATGTTTAACCACATATAGGTAAATTAGTACAATTCTTTAAAATTAAATTAAGTATAAATCAGTTTGATGTAGCTTTGTTATGAATCAGTAGTTTTAAAAATATTATAGACATTTTGATTGTTCTAGTGAATATGTGAATATATGACAATTTTTACTTAACTGAAAATTGACGCCAATTTAATATAAAAAAGTAGTAATATGCAAAGTACATTTTTTAATATAATGCAAATATCATATACAAGATATGTGGAAATGTTGCTCTTAAATTAGAACAATACATACAGTACAATTTTATTAAATTCTACACAAAATTAAAAATTTCAAAATAACATGATATTGTAAAAAATGTAACTTCCATTTTTTAAATTATATATTTTTTCTATTAGTGTTTCTGTTAATTTTCATATATTTCTTGGTTTCCTTTTTTTATTGGGTATTTTACCACATTTGATAATTTTAGACAAAAATTGTAGACATTTTGAAAACATTAACTAATGCTTTTTTTATTTAATTCTCATTGTGAGATTTCAAAATAGGAAAAAAATAAATTTTAGAAGCAACCTTTGAATTAATATATTATTTTTTAATTATTTTGCATAATTTTTGTCTTCGTTTTCTGTTTATTTGGGTATTTTGCCACGTGAAAATAAATATAAAAAACATACTTATGGCTAGTTAACTAAAAAATTGTTTCAAATTTATTTTTGCAGTTGGCAAAATATTCAAATAAATAGAAAGAAATATTATATGCATAAGTTTTATAAGTAACCGATGTAGTACCTTTAAAGTCCATTGTCCATTGTAATATATAGTCAGCTGATAAATATGATTATCAATCACTTCCTGATCATAATCTGAGATATTTGTTAAATTATGACTGGATACTGTAAGACAGCAAAAGTATGTAATTTTAATTTAACTAATTCATATTTATCCTGATTCAAATTATCACAAGAAAATGTCCAACATTTTACTTATAGATTTCAATTAATAATGGTCACTGTTTTAGCAAAGGGAACAACTGAGCAAGTTAAAAACTGAGCTTCATGATGAAATTAGCTTTCACGAGGAACAAATTAAGAGACATCAGGAAGCCATCGACCGTCACAAGAACAGAGTACAAAATATTGAAAAAAGTGAATAACTTGATAGTTTTTCATTGTTGTTTATAGTTGTTATGATATGGTTTGCTTTATATGTTCTATAATAGTACTGCAACTTAAGATGTGTAATACTTAAATTCTTAATAAAATGTAGATCAATTTCTGTTGTTGTCTTCTAAAATATGACAATTCATCATCACTTTCAATAGTGTCTTGCAAGAAAAGTAAATACAAAATTACTATTCCATTTGGTTACACTTTCTGCAATACACTATATTCAGATTATTTTGTGTTCCTCAGGTGACTCAGGTCAGTTGTAAGATCTGTAATGGTGTAATTAAAAATTAAGTACTACCACCAATTAAAAAGTGTGTGTAGCAAATTTAATATAGTCTGCCCATCTTGAACAGCCTATTAAGCATTTTTATTAACTGCGTGCAACTGCAGTTTTCAGAAAACAAAGTATTGCATTGAATACAGGTAAGTTTTTGAAAATGCTAAAATAAGTCGTCAGTTTTCGACAATCCAAACAAAATTAAAGAATAAAATACAAAGGTCAAGATATGCGATGATGAAAATGCAACTGAGTCAGTAAAAACAGCATTTCACATATCACAAAAATTATATTAGAAAGTGCATATTATTATTAACATCTTAATAATTATTAGAGAAAATTTTTCTTTGAGTAATGAAAACAATGGAAAATTGAATTTACTTATCATTTTTACAAGGAATACCCTGTATACTTAATACAATAGTAAATAAAATACATAGGCAACTTAGAAATAGTATTGGGCAGCTGGAATTTAAAAATATTTGTGTAATTATGACTACATGTAGAATTTACGTCTAAAATGCCACATACACTTCCTTTTACTTCAACGATTTTGGTCTAGTATAATGTTTTGTGATTTTGTACCTCGGGTAAAATTATCGAGGATGAACAAATTTTATGTTACGTAGGTAATATTTTAAAATTATCGCAAGGTGCAAGGTATTGGTTATTATTATATTAAAAAACATAAATAATTAATTAGAAGCCCACCTAACAGGGTGTAACTAAAATGCTTGATCAAACAAACAATGATGTGTACTAAATAAATTAATTAAAAAAAAGCTTATATAAACCTGAGTCCGGCAATACTTACTTTATTTTCAAAATACAGGACGCCAGTTTTTTAAAATTCCATGCGTTTTAAATAATAAGCAAAACCATGGGTGTAGGGAGGATATTATTGAATGGTATTTTTTCTAGGGGGGCCGTGCCCACTCCTACCCTCTGCTAGCTACATGCCTGAGCAAAGCTTTAGTTTTTGATTATTCACAATTAATAGTTTTTTATAAAAGGAGGCGTAGTTTCGGAAGTTTACTTACATTTAATAATTTCGCTCACAATTTTTTTCTAAGATATTCCACACCATTTTGATTAACCATTAAATGCTTGTTTGTATTTTTGCTGCATGCCGCCAATATGCATAATTTTCTAGAAAAGTAGTACAACGTCTTACATGTTATTAGGTAATTATTGCCGAAACGTCACCGTCACGTCATCAAGTTATTTTTTATATAATGATGCAAATAACTTAAGTGTCACAGTTTTCATGAATGAAATTAATATTTATTTACAAGGTCTTCCTCAACTGTATCCTGTATTTCGAAAAGGAAACATTTCTGGACATGTATTTGCATAAACTTTTTCTGTTAACTTTTGACTTAGAATCTGCCACTAATGTTGGAGTAAACATTTTATTTATATCCTGTATATTCAGCACAACAAATTTATAAAAATAATGAAATTAGAAACCGGTTCAAATATTATAATGTCTTATATCTACATCTTTATTTTCACAATAAGTTGAAATGCAATATATAAAATAATACTTCTCATTAAATTTTTATACATACTTTACTATCTGTTTCAAATTTTAGCGCTCTGTGATCAAAGATTAGCGCATGCGTATACCAATCATTTTAATCAGGTTGGGCGATTGATCAGTGCACCGAATGCTTTAGTGAGTTTTGTTGTGTGTCGTGCCATATTATTATTTTTTTAAGTAAAAACCATATAAATAATATTTAAAGGACCACGTACTATACTTAGTGATGCATTTTAGGATATCTATAATACTATGTTGGGCAGTCCTTATGGGATTTGCGACTGCAACTCAGGTAAATAAAGAAAATTGTGTGTGTATGTGTGTGTATTCAATGTATCCTTCTTGGGATAACCTTTCTGACTAAGTGACTTAAATATGATTTCCCCGTTACCTATTGCGATTTTAATTAAGAGCAAGCTGATTTGATTTACTACGTAAGTAATAAATTTGACAGGATAGTTTATAACTTATTTCACTTATCGTGAATTTACTTCAAGTGGAATTCCAAATATTTACACTTAAAAAATACTATAGGTATCTGTCATGACCCATTTTCATAAAACCTTTTTCCCTCCAAAAGAAAAATGCAGTAGGTACCTACCTAATGACCATATGTGGTATATTAATTTCAGATTCATAAAACGACCTTACTTGAATAAAATACAAAATGTTTTCCGGTTTCTTTGCTTATATAGGTACATTTAAAAGTTAGTCTTGCCTTGTCTTGATTGGTAAACATATTTTTAGCTACCTGTATATGTTATTGGAACTGCTATCTTATAGAATTCAATAAATAAAATGTAGGAATTGTTAAACCGATATTTCTAAGAAAAATGTACCACCTAAATTCCTATTGATTAACATGTTTATACATATATGGGAAATATTGAAGTAGATAGGTACCTATCTAATTAAAAATACTTTTATTGTCAAAAGTTTATTTTTATATGTAGGTATTTTAGTCATATCTGTATATCTTATTTGAAATGTGGCGTATTGAATAATACAAATAAAATGTAGGTATAGTAGAACTAAGTATTATGTCGGAAGAAAAATGTATACCTACTTAAATTTTTATTCATTAACAGGTATATATGTAAAAATCCTAAAATAGCACTGTCAACCATTTTTTCCACGCAGGTATTTCAATATCGTCATCAGATCGTCTAAACATAATTTTAATTTGACTATTTGTCTACAATAAATGATTATTTAATATCATTCCTTAGTCGCACATATTTTTCTTTTCATTTCCTTATGTGTAGTTAAATAACGCAGGTTATTCTTTTACTCAAGTTTAAACTGTAGAATTTTTATTATATTAAGTGAGATACGGTTCTACAATGTACAAGATGAACAGTATCGTCATCATTCATATTAACTCGTAAATAAGCACAGAATAAAACCCAAATTTCGAATACAAAAGAAGATAAAGGTCATAAACTAATTAGATATATATATTTTATCTGACAATTCTTAAGTTAGTTGGAATCGTAAAGCCAGGCTCAGAATATTCAAACAGGCAACAAGCATTTTAAACAAGAATAAGAATTATGCAATGCGTAATTTAAATACCAAAGATTAACGTTTTAGACCGTGAATCGAAGTGACGGTACACAAACACAAACCGTTCAAACTCCAGCTGGAATACCATCCATTGCACGGTTTAATATACAGGGAATATTCGCGTAATGTTCTACCTTATTTTTTTTGTTTTGGAAAGAAAAATGACGTGACCCAAAGTTTTATGATTTTTCTACAATTTCAAAGTAATGCTTAAAGCGCCGGCATTAGCATTTAGATTAGAATAGGAACATATTTGATCCATCTGTAATAATAAGGAAGATATGGCTAAGAGTCTACTCAATGTGTTAGAAAGAAGTTATTAGTTATTGTTAATTCCAAAGAAAAGTAATTTTTTGTAACGCATTACTTATGGAATACTTGAGGGTATAGGTACTCTTTTGGCAACATGTTTATTATAAGAAATGTACCTGTAAAACCTTATCAATGTAATCCTGAGAAGGCGTTCTATCCAAATATACAGTGTGTAGTAGCAACTTCGGGACTAATTGGTCTCATCGAAATAAAAAATTTTCCCTAAGACGATTTCCAAATATTCTACGTTCCTTTAGATTGATTTTATGAAGCATGGTTTTTAAGCAGTGCAAAAGCGCTAGTCAAAATTTGTTGTAAAGTACTCATTATTATGATTAAATACTCAAGCTTATCAAGATTAATTACTCAAAAATATTAGAAAAAACGAGTAAAAGTTTGAGAATCTCACAGACATAAATAATTGTTTTAAAACAGATTACTCAAATGCTACTCAAGCTTATACAGTAAATTGCTCCTGCGATTTACCTCTCGGTGTTTAATGAAGGGCAAACCGCAGGAGCAATTTAGTGTTAAAGCTTGACTAATATTTGGATATTAAAATATAAATACAATTATTTAATGTCACGTGTAAGATGCGCGCATGCGTCATCTTATTAGAGTAACGAAATATGAAAGCCTGTATTTTAGTAAGTATACAAATTTTCATCAGCGCTTCCCGCTCGGTTTTTAGTTAATTGCTCATAAATTACTTCTATTTATTTATTTATTTTCTCTATAAAAATACTGAAAAAAAATAAAATTCCTAGATAAATATAAAGTAGCTGACCATTTTACTATCACATTTTCTCCTTTAAAGTACTGCACAGTAAATTTTCTAAATTCCACTTTTCAATGACTATGATATTTATTTTCTTACTTTCAAATATATCGATTCAATAACAGTGTGTTGTACAGTTCAAGTTATTTTTGTAACAAGCTCATCGAGGGGGATATCGCAAGAGTAATGTGGTGTACAAGTTTGAAAAATATTTGGGTATTAAAACAATTAATTACATGTATAATTCGCGTATCTCCCTCGTCACCCTGGTCTTTCTCTGTTATTTGAGTAACACTCGAGTAATTAATTATCAGAGTGAGTATTTTAGTGTACAAATTTTGGCCAGCGATTTTTCTCGAAGCTCATTGGAAAGGTGAAAACCATACATCCATGGATGCCCGTGGATGACTTTCCAAATTGGATGTCCAGTACATTTTTGGGGAATGCGCAGTTGTCGTTATACTTTTAAAGACACATAGAGACATCTACGGGCATCCGTGAAAATTTTGGGACTTCCATGCACTAGTAACTACACATCCATCGCTGTTCAACGTCTCGTTTATTTTATGTCTTTGAATGATACATCATTCAGTTGCTTTCAGATCACAAGGAAATATCTTCAATTTTTTATTCGAACCGTTTTTTTCTATGCACAAAAGTAAAAGATATGAGGGGTAGAATATTACGAGAATATAGTGATGTTTTTAATTGAAATACCAGATACTAGTACTTATAAACACATGCCATGGGCAGTCAGTTAATTTATAGCAATGGTCTTTAAGATGGTACTGGCAAAGCATTTGGTACACCCTGTATTGTTTTCTGTTGCTAACGTTTATAATAAAAAATAAAACCTATACTAATAAGGAATGGAAAAAACAGGTGAAACATAATGGAAGAAAAACATGGATGAGGAAATATTTTCTGAAAAATTACTATGCTATGAACATTCCAAACAATGAAAAATCATGTTTAAAAATATCAGAAACTTTTTATTACTTACTCGATGAAATTGGAGATAAAATGGGGGTAGAGATTGCATATTTTCTATTAATAAATAAGTTTTTTTTAATGCAGATATGTCTTCAATCTATACTGGATATAAATCAGAAAAGGGAAGAGGTTCTAATAAAATTCTTTACTATTGCTACTGGATTATTTCAAAATAATATAAAGTTTAATGATATTGTGGCAAACGACTCTGCGGGCTCCATACCTCCATACCCTGTTCAACGTTGAATTACTCCCCCAATATCTAGGAAATAGCTAAGATTAATCGTCAGCAGACTTACCAGACAGGCCACTTTCGAACTTATTAATTGTCGTTAGTATGCCATGGGTGAGAGAACCGACGAACGATTTAGCTATGTGGATGTTTATCTGCCGACATGTTTTGACTGTGGGTCATCGATTATGATGACTATGATTCTAAATATATAAATATTTTAATTACAGTATTGTTGCCTGATGATGTGCAATTTCGTCAGTATATGGTACGAACTATTAAAACTGTAAAATAACTAAAATGTCAGCGGGTTTTTAAGGTAGGCAAACACTTGCCGGCAAAGGACGAAAGACACGCATGAGATTTTTATATAGTACCACATTTTTATTAGCAGGATTTTATTTAATATTTTTATTCGGAAAAATGTATAATTTTTTAAAAAATAACAAAACCAAGATGTACCGATTTGCATTTGGATCGGGATCAGCTACATTCATGTTATTTAAAAAAATTAGCAGTGCGCCTTTATCGCTGCAACTTTTGGACCCGTGTTTCCAGGATACTGTTTGCTTAAACTGACACGATATTTATGAGACAGTTTATATATCTACAACAGTGTGCCAGAACATCCTTTTTATATTTTCATTAATATTTAATTAGAATTTTAGTGTATAATTATAGTATAGTGTATATTTAGTGTACATGATTCCTATAATTTCCCTCATCTTTTGGCTCATGAAAAATATTGAACTACCTAGGTCCAAGTCTAAAGAAATATAATTATATTGTGTCCAATTTGTTTGTTCAAATTGGAATAAATTGGATATAGAGTTCAAAGCTATTCAAGTTAGATGATTCATAAAAATTTAAAGGAGTTCTTTGAACTATTAGTGTATCGCACTCGAGGGGCGATCCGCTAAGGAAAAACCGTACGAAGATTACAAAATTTCTGAAATCTCTTGTAATGTATCTGCAGATTTCAATATCAATTCAAAAAAGATTACAAATTTCATATAAAAAATCAAGATTACAATATCTTTCAACAGATTACAAAACATTTCAGGAGATTTCAGTTATTTTAGTAGATTTCAATGGTTATTTAAGATTTCAATAGGATTATTAGAAATTAAAAGAAGATTTCAAAATTTCTTAATAAGATTTCAAGGAATACGGGACGATTACTTACAATAAGTTTTGAATGTCCATTTGAATAAAAATAATTGAATTAACTTCAAATGTCATTCATTTCATTCATTAACAGTAGTACTTTGATTAAGAATTTCCAGTATCATTTTTACGCAAAAATTGTAACATTCTGATTAAGTTTTTGTTCGAATGAACGTTAAAAACTTTTTGTCATGACAAAAATGATAACGCCATTTTGAAAGTAGGTAAGTATATATTTTTATTG